CGAAACGAACAAAGGCGTGGTATAATATATAAATCAGATATTTTCGAAGTCAGTTCCAGCCGATGCAAAGCAAATCTAATATATTTCGATACATAAAATTCATATTTACGTATTAGATATTCATATCTTAAAATATTGTCGGCTGGCACCGACTTCGAAAATATCTGATTATGTATCTATTCTAAATGAAAACCTCCGTTTAGTTATTTTTTACATTTTAGTGCCTGGAAGTCGGTTTTTTTAAATAAATAGTTTTTTATACTACACCCTTATTCGCTTCCGCTCTATGGGGTACATTGCCTACAATTGGTCTTTCTTGTTCACCCTCCGATCATAATATTGTAATCTAATAAGGCATGTTTTAAGCAATTTTGGTGCAGCTACAATAAACATAAAATGCAACATGATACTAGTTTAAGAGATGCAAATAAACTTATTTTTTACCCGACTGCGCGACGCAAAGGAGGGTAATGTGTTTATCAGTCTATGTATGTATGTATGTACATATGTATGTATGACACTCTAGAGACCAAACGCGTGGGCCGATTTCTATGATTCATATGTCGTTAGTTTCGTATGCACGCGAGTGTCATAAGCTATATTATAGCCTATAATACTCGCGTTATAGTTAAAAATTAAAAATAGTTTAAAAGTAAAATGGCGGATATCAGGCGCCAATTTGTGTGTCTATAAAAAAATCTTTCAAATCAATCGAAATGGGGTCTCAAAATAAAGATTTTTGGTGATCACAAAAAAAATTAAGAGAACACAACTTACATGTTTAAAGGTAATTTGGGATAAGAAATTGCTAAATATTAAGTCTTTACCTATGAAATTGTCGTTTAATATATAGAAAGTTCAAGTATTGTATTTTTATAAATATTTTTCATTTCTATTAATCAAAATATGCACCCATGCTATTGATGCAATTTGATGCAAATGGACCAATATTGTTTTGATGCTAACGTTGAAAGCTGCTGCTATCTCAGCCACAGATTGAGTATCGTCAGCTTCCACTATCGCCTTTAATGCGTCGTTACTGATTTTAGTTTTCGGGCGACCACGGGGTTAATTTTTTAAGACCAAAATTTCGATGTTGGAAGCGTTCAGACCAATAACGAGTCATGCGTTCGTTTGTAGTGTTCACTCGGCACTCCGTACACGTCATTAATATTGCGAGGCTTTTGTGCGGGATTGCTGCCGCGATGGAACTCGTGTTTCATAATTACTCGTACTTTTATTATGTTCATATTGATGAAAAACAAACAAATGTAGTGAAAACAAAACACTAATTAATAAACAAACGACTGAATTCAAAAATAAAACTCCATACTTTTAAAATAAAATACATTTGAATTTAGAATCCGGCCGGCCATTCATAAATTACGTTTCCAATGGCCAGTAAGTATTGTAGAACGGCAATTTCAAAAGACCTATTATAAATTCAAATGTCTAATAAAATTAAAAAGGTGTAAATAAAAAAATACATTTCATCCTTGTCGCGAGATGTAAATGTGTATGTCACCAACTGCATAATACTTTATTCCTTCGTCAACTTGTTTTTATCTTTTTAGTTAGCTTTTATGCAGTTAGGTTTTTTATTTTTATAATGTTTTAAAGTAATGTGTAAGTTGAACTTATATCTGTAAAATAAAAATCGTACTGTTTAAAAAATTCAATTTTTTTTAGAAAAACAGTAAAAATATTTATAAAATATTAAATTTCAAATAATGCTAAAAAACATCAATGAAAATATTCTAATGAATATTAAAAAAGCCTTCCCCATACTAAAAATGGCGGCTCGAATTTGGGTTACGTGTTATTATATTATTAATTACTTAAAATCTAATAGAAAATTTACAATTTCAATTATACGTAGTTATTTAGTTATAAATTAAAATCATGTTAATAAAAATATTATGCTATCACTAGTGTATTTTTTATTCAGAAAAAGTGAAAATATAAGGACTAAGCGCGCGTGAATGCTTACGATGTTTGACAAATATAACAATTTCTGTATAAAATCTCTATTCAATACACATCCTATGAAATAAAAACTGTTAATTACTTACTCTTCCATCATATTCTTATAGTAATAATTTTACACTATTTTGTTAATTTTTTACTCACAAGTATTGAGTTCAAAGATCGCCAAAATTTAAGTAAATTGTCTGCACAAATTACAAAAATTTATATTATTGGAGTTATTACTTTTTTGACATGTAGTATGATATTATTGCTTGTATTTTTCTTTACACGTTACAAAAGTTAGATAAAAATAAATATAGTTTAAATGCGAGAAATCACACATTAAATGACATCGGGATCAATCGACCTTTAAAAGGTCGCTTGAGAGACAGGGGTATTTTTGACATCGACCTTTAAAAGGTCGATCGACAGACGAGGTAATAAGGAATACGTCCTCCAAAATTCACGTTTCTACGACCAGAGGTTTAGGCTGTGTGTTGCTCCATCAGTCAGTCAGGACTACCGCAGGATGCACCTCTCCTTCTCAATTCTTCCTTAAGTTAGTTTAACTTCCAAGTACAATACATTGCCCAGGTAAGATGCGAACATAATAGAAGTTCAAAAACCAGGTATAAATAAGATATTTTAAAGAATCGCTTAAGAGGATTGTGAACCTGTAAATTTTCATACAAAAAGCGATAACGTTTTTCCCCCCTTAAACATAGTCAAATTTCATAATTTTTGGAAATGTTGTAGATATAATCAAAATCTAGGTCCGTACGTTTTTATTTTTTTGAAATATTGCGTACGACAGAAGTTATTAGCATCTAAATATCTATATTTTTGACCTAAAAACTTCCTCCAGCGTTTTTATTTTTTTAAATTAAACTAAACTGAATTACAAAAAAAGGAAAACGTACAGACCTAGATTAAGGTGTACTGAATCTAATGAGACCAAAATCATCTCATTTCGTTAATGTTTAGGGGGGTGAAAACGTTATCGCCCGAAACAATATTTCAAAAAGGAAATGTAGGTAATTGAGTCTAAGACTTGCAACTCTCTCTATCGCACCATACGGGTCGGGGGCAGGGGCATATTTTAGACTGTAGTGATGTTGAAGGTGCTATCGATATTATTATCTCCTAGGGAGGAGAAGGTAATATCGATATATCGATCGATACTGAAAGGATTCAATCCAAAGTTTAGAATTTTATTATACTCGTATGTATAGATTGTAACTAAGCCGTATCTGTACATTAAATATTTTTTGGAAAATAATATTGAAATAAACATTATTATCGATACAGAGGCCGAATCTATAGTTTTTTGAATTTTTGTCTGTCTGTCTGTATGTCTGTCTGTCTGTTACCACGTCACAGAAAAACCACTGGAGGGATTTTGATGAAATTTGGTATGGTGGTAGCTGGTTATCCGGATCAACATATTATAGCATTACCGCGGGAAAATATCTCATTTCTGAGAAAAAATACAAAACTGAAAATATATATATATATAAATATATATATATATATATATATATATATATATATATATATATATATACAGGGTCATTTTTAATTTACTGAAGACCTTTTGGGAATATACTATTTACATCATAACAACAACCTCTGTAACAAGAAAAAAAAATATTTCTTAAATTTTCATTTTCATACAAAAATAAAAATATTTTCTATATCATCATCATCATTACATCTGGCCAAGTTTGAATGAGTAAGGACCACTTCCTACACCCCTCCACCCCTCGCCCTCCACCGGTCACGCGCTTTCTTTTGCTAATTGCTGGACTATTACCGTTTAGAAGGAGCAATAAAAATACTTTTATTTTTGTAAAATTTATATTTTTAATTCTATATTCGTTATAATTTATAATATTCGTTATAATTTTATGAAAATTATTACGAATAGTATGTTTATAATTATATATATATATATATATATATATATATATATATATATATATACATACTATTCGTTATAATTTTTTCGAAATTATCGATATTTTATTAGTTTTTGGAGTTAATTTTATTGATTTTTCTGAAAAAAATGATTTTAGGGCAATTACAGAAAGAAATGAAAATCATTCGTAATCTAATCTTGTTTATTCATTAGTTAAAAATATATTTTAAAAAATTAAGTTGATATATTTTATAAAATTTAGTCATAGATATGTTAAAAAATCGTAAATCATCATCATTCATGATCAGGTAATTTTATGAATTTCTATTCCTTATATACCTGCTAACATTATAAAATCATAAAACTTCAGGTTTTCAATAAAATAATTATTTTAACAATAAAAGGATTCCGATGGGTCTATTAGTACCTACATAAACAACAAAAAATTCTATAACTTTCAACTTTTGGAACGAGATTTTTGTAATTGATCTAAACCACCTATTTATTTTTTTATGATTTTTTGAAGTCATCAATCTAAACAAGTCAAATTTTAAATGATATTCGCCACAGAATTGTAATTTAGAGTTATTTAAGTTTATGAATAAAGGTGCGATGTAATTTGTAGGGAATGTATATTGTACGCAAACCGTTAAAATAATAAATATTAGATAAACTTTGAAATTGCTCTTGCGCCGAGTCGCGCCGCCCCCGCCCCCCGCAAGCGCCCGCGCGTCACCGGCTGCTGCTATCATAGTGTGTGTGAGAATTTGCGTATGTTGTATTTGTGTTGTTCACTGCCGGGGGGATGCAAAGCGGTATGAAACAGATAGCATTTTTAAAATACCTACTCTCGCCGCGTATCGGCACTTCACAATCCTCTTAACAGTTAGAATGTAAATACATATAAGCCATACGTGTGGCGCCCTCCTTTCGAGAAATCTTTCCCATTATGATCTATGATTAGAATTCAGAAGTTTTGTAATCTATGGTTGTTCAATTTTTGAAGTATAAGTGTTATATTATCCTGTATTACATTAAATTTAATTTTAAAACTTACAAATTTACAAATTATTGATTAATTTAATGGTTAATTACATTATGTAATTATTATACAATGTTACCTAATTGTAGAGTTTTCATACTAAAAACTTCTATTAAAAATACTGCTCGCTTTTGTCATAAAATAAACAAACAAAATGACTTGAAACAACCTAAGGTGGCTCAAGATGTTATGAATTACTTGGAGAGTTCCATAGAATATAAGGATATTATTGATGTAATGCCGAAGACTCTACTAAAAAAATATAAAACCCCTGAAACTATGTATTTAATAAATAAAAAAACAGCAAAAGATATTACATCCACGATATTAAATTATTTAAACAAGGAAGCTCCTATAGTGGAAGTTAATCCAGGATTTGGGTTTTTAACACAGGAACTCTTACAATGCCAAAAAAAACCCATCTTCTTATATGAAACTTCTAACCATTTCACACAATTTTTAAGTGTTAGTTTCATTTTTTTTATTAAATAGTAACCTATATTATTTTTAAAATGTAAAATTTTTAATCAATTATATCTTTATTTTATAACGATGTTTACTGCTGCAGGATATTCAAAAAGAACATCCTCGAAGAGTAAATTTTAAAATAGCAAACTTTTTTGGAATGTGGAAGTTAGCTTTCCAAGATAAAAAAGATCAAGGAAATAGGATTAATGAACTTTTAGGAGACCTGATGACTTATGATACTGGTATGTTAGTTTTAATTCTTATGACTGGCTGAATATTATTATCCAGATAATCTTGTAATGAAAATTGCTAATAATTTATGATAATTTAATAAGAAATACTAGAGGACACATTTTAATGGGGAACCCGGCGGAAACATATTGCCCCTTTTATAATTGTATGTAAAAATTTGATTTTGATTATATACTCGATGAACATAGCAATCTTGCAGCCGGATCTTATACCAGTTTATTAAAAGTATTGGTTTGAGACAAATAATGTATAAAACAATGTTTTAAGATATCATTCATAATGCTTTCTTTAGGTCTATAAACATTCATGACATAAATTTCAGCAACTTTTATTATAAACTAACAAAATAAGAAGGATACTTCCTTTCTCCAATTATATATATCTTCTTGTTAATCCATTTATAATTTATGAATTTAACTAATGACAACCTCACTTTGCATGGGTGTGTTACTCTATGTTGTTATTAGAAGATGCAAAAAAGAATTAATTTTTATTTCAGATAGAATATTAAATATAATAGGTGCAATGCCAAGCTTATCATTTGTGAGACATTTAATAAATACTATTGTTTTTCATAATGATACAAATCATTTAGGAAGACCTGACATGTACATTGTTATGCCAGGACACCATTATGAGGTAACATCATGCTGTTACTTTAGATAAAAATAAAATAATAATAACTGTATACTATGAAACACTAATTTTCTTTAGTTTCTTGTAGATAGTGGAATCCAAATGGGCAAGCACAAAGCAGTACCAGCACTATTTCAATTACTTTTTGATTTCAAGGTTTTAAATAAAGTACCTAAAGCACATTTTTTGCCTTGGACATATACCCCATCAACAAAGAAGCTCTCAGTGGTAAATTTCATATAATGCATATTAATTATAAGTTGGTAATCGACAAAAATATTCACTTATTATTTTTACAGATGGACGAATATTGCCTATACTTAGTGAGAATAACGCAGAAAGAGAAATTGCCTTGCTTACCAGAATATTTGCCACTATTGTGGTATTACTTCAAGCCTCATACATTCTCAAAATCTACCAGAGTTATACCTATGCTTGAGTATGATTTTTAATTCTTATGTATAGTGTACCGCATATTCACATTGCTATTCATCCAAAGTTACAGCTTGTTTATAACAGATATAAAAGCTCTAAAAATATCATCATCTCCCTGCCCATTTCCCAATCACTTGGGGTCGGTGGAGTTCATCTTCCATACTGCTGAAAGGATTTGTCAAAAGTTTTACGACTGGTTGCCTGCCTGACATCAATCCTCCTTGGGAATGCTATTGTTTATCGTAGACGACTTGTAATATGCAAATTTGATATTGTTTTTAAAACATTTTTTATAATCTAGCCCAAAGTTTTAATGTAATTTTCTGATAAATTTTGAACACAATAAAATTTGTTTTGAAATTAAAAGCTCTAAAAATATATTTTCGCATTATGTATAATTTTAGACAATGGATACCAGGATGTGGTGTTTGGTTAATAACTGGGCAAGATCCACCTGACACTAATAAAAAGCTATCCCCGGATGAAACTGATGCTAAATTGCCTCATATGACTATCTTTACTGAGTTTGGTGATTTAAATTTACAGCAGCGAATAACCGTTTTTAAGAGGTAATTATTATATGGACAGTTAAATTTTAAAATAGTACTGACAAATCTTTGTTAAAGCACAGTGGTAACATAAATGTGAATAAAATTAAGGAATATTTTTTATTTCATTTTTTTTTATACTACTCTGCTAATGCTAAAATATTCTCTTATACTCAATGACCCCATGCGTAACAATATTCATGACGTTGGTTGAACTGTGGAGATGATTAGTTGTAGCACCATTTTCGTTTTTAAACAATAAGGGCCTATGCTCCGCTCGATGCGAACGCAAGCTTTTTTTTTTTAAGTTTATCAACCCTGAATATGGACGCTTATTCGACGCGTTGATAAATGTGATATTTAGAGGTCCTACTTTGTCAAAACGTCAAAGTAACCATTCATATTTTCATTTACATAGAACATAATATTAGGCAATATAGCATGGTGCGGGACGCGGGTGACATTAGTCAAACCGTTCCTTTTCACTAATGAATGTTCCTATGATTTACAAACATGGTGTAATATTTCTGCTTTAACCTGAATATTACGAGTGTATGGTATTAAATCATTGTTAACGGTAGTAAGTAAAAAAAATTACCCTATAATGTGTGTTTTTAAATAAATTCAAAATATAAAGAAAACGATGCGATTTTGTTTATATGATTTTGTTATGCACATAACGTCTTAGTGATGGGACATTATTGCCTATTGGCACGATAAATTGTTGATATTTATTATTCCCTCCACGACCGCGGACACGCCGGCGTGTTAGTTAACAATAGATTTCTTAGAAATTTAATTAATTTCTTCTTTCTGTCGTGTAAACGCAAGAAGCATATTATTTTAAAACTTGTTTATATCAAATTAAGATAGTTTTGTACCTTCTTATTTAAAATGCTATTTTCTATATTCAGATTCATATCCTGGCCAGAATTTGAACAGTGTCCATTTAGAGTGACCATGGAAAACAATTTACCAAAACTTGCCACAGCTTTAGACGACGATGATGACGACAAGTCTAATATAGGTGCTCATATAGAAGAGATTGAAAGTTCTGACACTGAAATAGAACCTGATAATATTTAAATAAAGAAATTGTTAATTAAAACATATGTTTATTTTACACATAACATCATTACAATAAATTTTATAGCCCAAGAAAAATAATAATAATTTATCGATTAGAAATGCTTTATATTTCTATCAAAGTGACAAGTACACACACACATTAAAACATTGGAAAATATAAAAACGACATGGTTTGTTGATTATAAAAATATCACGGAAAAGATCAAGAAAGCATAAATTACTACATTTAGATATCAAAATATCATTCTAAAATAATTATTAGGTAAACTTCACATTAAAATAAAAAACAATAATACATGGTATGTTTTTAATGTGATGATAGATTAAAAAATTATCTATTTTTTTACATTTTATACATTGCAACTCTATATACAAACCATATAATACTTTATATCAGTATATCTAAGTAATAAATATTGCTTTCTTCAAATTAAATTACTAATACCATTGCAAGTTTATATTATATGTTCAAATATACAAAAAAATATTGAAATTATTTAATACTTTATTATTAAGATAAGACAACTACTAGGGACGGGTTAATTTATTTTAAATATACATAATTTTACCATTCAATATTTGACTGTTAAGAAATTCTATCAAAATGAAATGAAAACATAACTAATAGCTATGTCATAGTATATGTCAAAATAATTTAAGTATATAATTTGGTAAAAATTTAAATAATATAGACAACCCACCACCATATTATATTATTTACACATATGACTAATTAAGTACAATATAATATGTATATATACGAAAAACTAAACTATACTGTTATAAATTTTGGAAATGTTTTTCTGTATATATAACGCGATTATTCGATTTAGGTGTGATATAATTCAAAGTTGGTATATCGAGCGGTAATTGATTACTTCTAGTCAATATTTTATTATGACTTGAAGGTTTTTGCATACTTAAATTTGTGTGAACATTTAAACTGATCGTGTTCAAACCATTTTGAGGTCTAATACTAGGGCTTGATACAAAGTCGGTCCACTCGTCATCGTCTACGAAAGTAATAGGTTTTTTTGGTGATGTTTGTGGTTTAGGTGTACTTGATACAAAGTCACCCCAAATATCATCATCTGCTATATCATTTTGAGAATGCACAGAGTTACGTGCGGGCGACGCACTCTTGCTGTTCCCACCTGTAATAGCTTCACTTTTTAATGAATGTAGACTATTGACTGGATTAAACCTCGAGAGATCTTGCAAGTCTATCCCAGGATTAGGCCAATTAATTTGGGAATAACTTTCTAAGGACAGTGGCTGTAGTATTTGCCCAGTAGTATGCTGAGTACGAGCTGTCTCACTGGTGCTCGAACTTGTTGGTTGTAAAATATTACTATTGGCTTGGTAATTCATAGGATTTAAACCAGAAGGTTGAGGGAAATTAAAATCTTGCAACCCTAACACATTGTTCTGCATTGTAGAAGTTGGTATTTCTGTTGGTATCTCATTTAATTTTTTTGTATGTGACATTTCTACCTTATCATTATTTGCTATTATTTTCATGCTGGAATGTTCCAAATTTCTATTTAGAGAAGCACTTACATCAAATTCTACAACTGATGTTGGTGCCGGTGCTGATTGGAATGTTTCAAATTCATCATCAATTTTTTCAGTTTTAATGTTATTTTTATTATCTTCAACCTTTGTATCTTCTTTTTGTAAATCGTGGACACTATTATATTTGTCATTACTCCAAGAGGTGCTTGAAATAAAGTCAGAGAAGTCATCAAATGTCTCTTTCACTTCTCCAGGATCGGGCCAATTCAATGTTGGCATAATAGGTTCAATTTTAATAGGTTGTAATATTTGTGTTTGATAAGTAATTCCACCTTTGGGTAAAGAGTCTGATGTGGACATAGCGGCTGCTTCTTCAGGTTTTTCTTGATCAGCTGCATTCAATACAGGAACTTGAGTGTTCATACCTTTAAAATCTTGGAATTCCCAATATTCATTATCACTTTCCATATTGCTAGGTTCTTGAACCAGTTGTTCTGGCTCATTTTTATCAGTTTCTATAACAGGGGCAGGAACAAGAGCAGGGCCATCGTCATAGTGAATGGTTTTTGATCTAGGTGTTTCTGAATCAGTTGGTGTAAATATATGAGTATCAGGTAAATTGATATGTCGCAATGGTTGCACATTTAAAGTGCTTGAGTAAATTTTATTTAATTTTGTAGAAGTTTCATTCTCAAAAACATCTAAATCTGTTGGTCTTTTAACTGTATCAACTTTCGTGCCTTCGGTTTCTGTGTTACAAGCTGAAATATATAAAATTTGATATCAGTAACATTACTAATTAAAATTTGATACATACAAGCAAAATAAAAATATCAAATATCAAACTCATTTATTTAAGTATAGAATTTTTCATAGTCAATTTCTAAAATATGGTAACAATTTTTTTTCATACAGTAAAATTTTATCATTATGTGTACCTATCAATAAAAATTATTAATGAGATAAATATCATTTTGACTTTATGAGAAGTGCAAACTTACATAACTACATGCTACAAAACTTACCATGTGAGAGTAGCTCAGATATTTTTAATGTGGAATGTTTGTGAGCCATTTGGTCTAAAGTGGCCATTAGGTGCTCTAAGTCTAGGAGAAGAGCTTCAGCATAGGTGTCTAATTGGGAGAGACATAGGATTTGGGAAGAAGCAGATTGCAAAGGTGTATGGTTTAATCCATGTGCAAGACATGCAAAAGAACCAATTATACAGTGTCAAATCAGAGAGCATCAAAATGTTATTATATTGCCTAATTTGTATACTTCACTGTGATATTCATTACTCCAATAGAGTTTATAATACATATCAAAATAATATGAATTTGTTAGTAAATTGTGTAAGTACTTTACAATATAGTTTTTATTAATGGCAATAAAATATATTTAAATAGCAGAAACTTACATTCCTGTCCATCAGGTGTGAAAGGATCAACCCATGTGCTCTCCTTACTAGCAGCCTTCTCTACAGTCTCTGTGTTAGGAGCAACTGAGTGTGCTTGTTGTTTCTGTGGCTGTAGCGGAGCAACACTTAAGTTTGCTGCATATTTTGGCATATTATAGTTCCATTTATGCCCAAATAACTGAAAACAAAATCATATAATCTCAATGTATTTACATATTTAAGATCTTTTTGTAAATATTGCCTGAAATAAATGATTAAATAAATTAAAATAATAAATAAACAAATGTATTTTAATCCTAAAATTAAATTAATATTATTAATATTAAATTAATAAATGAGAAAGTGTAGGCACGAGAAAGTCCTTCTTTCACAAACCCACAGAGTAATGGATCTATGTAAATTTTTGTACAGACATAGTTTAATGGATTAAAAGCAACATACATGACTTTTTATCCCAATAAAATGGTTTTACCAAAACATAAATTGATTATTTGTCTGTTACAAAAAATATTAAGGAGAAGAGATTCAAGTTTTTTAAGCTTTTCATTTTATTATTTTTTTCATCCGATTAAGACTGATGTAACTAGTTTTTGGCAGCGGTGTATTCACTTTTTGGTCAAACACAAGAACATAAGATGTGCTTTAATATAACCTAGTCTAAGAAGGCAGAGCTGGATTAAGAATTACCATTTTGCTTTTTACTTTTTGCCATTTTACTCAAAATTTATTTGCTTTCTTTAGAATAAAGAGTAGTCTGTGTCATGTCAGTCCTTGTCTAAAACATACCATTATGAGCCTGTTAAAAAGCTTATTTTATTTTTTCAAAGGTTAATCTAGACACAGACAAAATTTTTAAAAGTTAAACATTGGCTAGTAGACCAAAAATTAGGTTATACACACACATATTAAGCATAAGAAATATTGAATATCACTGGCACATATTTTAAGTATATAAGTATTTAAGTAAATAATCTTACGATGTTCCTGGAGTCTATGCACAATGCTTTCAAAAGAGTTTTTTGCCCCAAGGAATTATTCCAATTGACCATGTATGGCTGTCTGACATCTATATTAATTAAATGCCCCCAGGTTTCACTAAGATACAGTTCAAGTTTGTCATCTAAATTATTGTCAGGTTCAGATATTTCATTTATAAATATAGTAGTCAATACATTATTTAAAGTATCCACAATCTGTGACTCATTGTCTTGTGAATGAAAATTTAATACGGGAAGATTTGATGTGGCAGTTACATTTTTAGCCTCTTCTGTACCTTCGGGAATATTACTAGAAGATTTAAAATCATCAAAATCACCAAAATCATCATCATCATCCTTATCGTCATTTATTGCACTGTCATTTTTATTATCATTTTGACTATTTGATATTTCATCTAATTCTTGTACACTTGAGTCAAACTTTGCTGTGAATGCACCAAATTCTAGACTTTCATTAGTATTACTGTCCCATGGATTTTCACTGCTTAGTGGCAACACCTTGTTGTAAATAGAACTTTTAAATTGAAAATCTTCAAAATCTCCAAATTCATCATCATTAAAATGTTCAGCTTGATCTTTTGCCTCTTCGGATGCCAGTTCGGATATCATGTTGCTCGATGAAGTAGATTGCTCATTGTCAGACAAAGTATTAGTTGATTTATTTTCACATGAAACTGTCAATTCATCATACACATATTGAATAATTTCTTCATTATTTTCATTATTCACATGTTCATTGTTATCACAGTTACTCACGGATTCAACAATCTCTGGTGTGTCCTCTATGGTAATATTTTCTTCTTCATTTTTTATTATATTTGTGCCACCTTGATCTTGTATTCGTGTGTTACAAACACCAGAACTTTCTTCAGTATCATATATTTTTGGTTCAGTCTCATCTTCTTTTGTACATATACCATTAGAATGTACATCGTCTGCTTCAATTTTCAAGTTAAGATCCTCTAATATATTTTCTTCAAATTTTGGTATATCTTCTGTAAATAAATTGTCAGTTGTGATAAAATTGACATTTCTTGTTATGTCCTTAGACTGTATACTATCTTCTTGCTTACATTCTACTGTTTCATTAAAATGAGAGGGCCATTTTTCTGTATCCACATTATCTGATTTAGTTTGGTAAATATTATAAGAAGGATAATTTACAAAATTGTATTCAGTGCTGTCATCATCTTCCTCTTGTGAGACTGAAAATGAGTATTTATGAGAATTAGATGAGTTAGTTCCGATTATAATTTTGATCTTGTTATTACTTTTATATTTAACGGTAAATGTATCTTATAACTTTGATATATTAATAAGGTTTAGGGCAAGACATACTATAAGCAACCAAACAAAAGAAAACAAACATGATAAAGTATGAAATTCGTTGCATTAGCATTCAATGGTGCAGTCATAGTTACTTACGATTGTACGATAAATCAAAATCTTCAGGGTCTTTATCGTCTTCACATTGCTCGGGTGGTGGCGGAGTGCTGCAAACAAGTGGAGGAATCGACATTCTATTGTACAAAGGAAAGCACAATTTCAACTTTGATTTTAATCACATGAAACTTCCAATATGTAATTTCAATATGATTTAAGATATATATCTAATTAAGCCTCAATTAAGAACAAGAAACTTTATAACATCGACAGCTGTTCATTTTAATTGACAATTTTTGTAGGACAACAACTGACGACTCAGCTGTCATGTCACACGGCCATGTTCTTTTTTTTAAATATAAATGTAAGCGTTGGAATTGTAATAAAAAAACAGATTTATCATAATATTATTTCAAATTAAAATGTGTCGTTAATATATTTAATCTTTGCATGAACATATATGAGAAAATAAAAAATAATTACATTGATAACTGAAATTCGAGGAGGAGAAAGCTTATATTCTGGAGTCAAAACATAGAATTGTTTTTACTTTTTAATATTTATTAACGTATCTAATAAACTTTCATATAAACAATTTTATTCTATAAATAATAATAAAAAGATCGTTCAAAACTAAAAATTTATTTTTTGGCAACATTGATACCAAGTACCAACTAGTAACTACCAACGGCAACGCTTAACCACAGAGTACATTGGTATATACTTGCGCTGTCGTTTTCACTTTTCGCTCTTCTTCGGCGATTCAATGTCGGTCGGTACTTCGCCGCAGCACTTTTTACTTGGATTTTCTATTTATTTTTGTAACTTGTCTCTTTTGAAAGTTAATACATATGAAATTCAACGTTAACAATTTAATTATAAGATATTATCACCTTAATTTGTAGGTAAGTTTTTAACTGTTCATTCATTACGATGTTATTACTATTGATTATCATGATTTAAAGATATTTATGAGAGTTTTAAAGAGGTCAAATTCATTCATATAGTAATGTACCAATGTAGGTACTAGCTTTTAATATAAATATTTCTGCTATAATACTCTCAATATTTATCAATTACGAAATAGTAAAAACAGTTTAACTCCTGTCAATAACCTTTGACATGTGTCATTGCTTACGTGTCAGCCAATGTATTCATATTGAACGAGCTTTTACTGTGAATTTTTGATAATCGAAACTAAATTTAAAAGTAGGTAGTTTAAAATATTTATCTACATGTTTACGACTTTATACCTGTGATTAAAAGGTACATAACTATAACATTTACTACAAACGTGATCGGTATTTGGTAATAATAAAATATATTGTACCTACATATTTTATTTTTACTTCCAAAAGGAAGTAAAAATAAAATACCGCATAAAAATGCATTATGTTGTCGGTGTCTTCAATTACAAAATATTTTTACTTTTATTATAGAAAATAAGTGCTTGCGGCAGATTCAATGGAGCTGCAGGCATTGTTAGTTCTGTGTGGTGTGGGTGTAGCAGGTGCAGCTGTACTTCTGCTCATGAGCCTTTTCTCTGCCTCTGGTACAAGCTATGAAGAAGCTATTGCCCAACAACGCCGGGCTACAAGTGAATTACTTGCACTAGCTGATACTAAGAATAAATCTAAGAAGACCAATAAGAAAGCTAATAAGAAGGTAACTTAGGCATGAATTGTTTTATGATAGATAATAATGATATAACCTAATTATTCTTAAGACAATTAAGTTGCATATTTCAAATATAAATATTCTCCTAGCCGATTCCCGCCACGGCGGCCAATCTCATTCAGACTAGCCAACTGCGCTAGCCACTACACCACCGAGGCAGTAATTAGGCAGTATTATAAAATAAAAAACAATCCAAATATTGATATAATACATATACAATAATACAATATATGTAAAACAAATTTTTGGTAACTTACTCAACTATATGCATGAATAATTTTTTTTTTCTTTAAATACTATTTGTGATACTTATACAATATATGTACTTATATTATAACTATAATTTTATTACTGACTATGAAATAAATGATTTATAAAATATAGTCAAAATAATTACTATGATATGTGCAGGTAACATAATCATAGTATGATTTAATTTTATGTTTAGAATGCACATTGATAAGACAATACCTACTGTTTTGTACATAACTTAGACTTTTTGTTCCAAAATGTATTTATATCAATATTTATTTTAGTTAGCAAAGAAAGAAAGAAAAGAAAATGCTTCAGCAGCCACTGAAAGTGATCCCGAAAGTGAGGCCCCTGCAGAAAGTGGTGTAGAAGATGACTCAGTTCCTGTCAAACCTCATGTTGAGTTTAATCCCTCAGTAGTTGTGGAACTACCTACAGACAATCCACCTAATATTAAGGTACTTAATTTTTTTTTAATTTACAAGTACTTTTATAATACATCATCATGTATTCAAATGTTATCAAAGTATTTGGGTTCACAGATTGCTGCTTATCTTCTTATTATAAAATAAAAATAATTCATATCATCACTCTATTATTTGCATGCATATTTGGCATATTTGAGATATCCTATATCTGCTTGCAAATTTTATCTGGTTTGAAATTTCTCACTTTAACCATATACTTGATTTGTCTTCTGGACTATTTATTAGATTATTTTCGGCGGCCGTTTAGAATTGGGGACTTGGCCCCTAGCGGAGTGGGTGGTATTTCTGGATAAGGGACGTGATAGGGAGTCGAAATGTTAAATAAAAATTGTCCGCGAACGTATGAGTAAAAAGTTATTGAGACTTAAAGTTACAACATTTCCATACATTATTTTGACATTACTACCATTTAGACACTTGGAGTCAAAACGTCACTTTCAATTGTCAAAATGATCTCCAGATGATTGTCTTTATTTGTACTTTGCGTGAAATTCGAATTTTCTAGTTTTCTAGTCATTTATGGCACTCGCCGGCCGCTACCGCGGCACGCTCGCTTCGCTCGCTCGGCTCGTGCGTTGTGGCAACTGTTCTAACCTAACCTAACCAAGATATGAGGAATAATAAATAAATAATCTTAAATGTTCTAACCTAACCTAACCCAGATATGAGGAATAATAAATAAATAAATAATCTTAAATGTTCTAACCTAACCTAACCCAGATATGAGGAATAATAAATAAATAATCTTAAATGTTCTAACCTAACCTAACCAAGATATGACGAATAATAAATAAATAACCTATGTCTTAAACTAACCACGATGTCGCAAAATAAAAACCAAAAGTAAATAATACATTTAGATTTTAAAAATAGTCTACTCACGTTTATAAATTGTTTACACTAACACTATGAACACTTAAAACTATAAAAATAATATTAAAACAAAAACAAGAAACGAAAGTATATAAAAATTAACAAAAACTAATAACTAATGGAAAATACACAGAGTACAGAGTCACAAATTATGAAACTTCGCGGTATTTTAAGAACACCCGCCAATAATACTGAAAAATATTCACAGATAAAAAAATGTTTTTTTTTACTAAATGTACAATTGTAAAACAATATATTTTACATAAATCAGATAAAAAATCATAAATGTATTTATGAAATGAAAATAATATTTTTCTTTTTATTTATTTATTTATTAATATTAATATTTTACCAACAGAAAAAGCAAAAATAATCAAATATAATCTGTTGTCATTTAAGCGGTAATATAAAACAAAGTGTCAGTTTTGCTTTTGTCAAAATGTAAGATCATATTGTTTGTGTTGTGAAATTATTAAAATATTAAATACAATAAAGCATTAATTGTTGTGAAAATGTGTAATGTACATAAAAAAGGATGCGTACTATTCGTTAAAGGTATGTTTATCTGTTGTAATCACTTATTTAGGTAAAGAAATGTATGGAAATGTGTTAGATATGTTATAACTTTAAGTCTCAATAACTTTTTACTCGTACGTTTCCTCCAAATATTTTTAATATATTTTGACTCTCTGTCACCTCCCCTATCTAAAAATACCACCCACTCCGAATGGTGGTAAAGAAATATATGAAAATGTATGGAAATGTTGTAACTTTAAGTCTCAATAACTTTTTACTCATACGTTCGCGGACAATTTTTATTTAACATTTCGACTCCCTATCACGTCCCTTATCCAGAAATACCACCCACTCCGCTAGGGGCCAAGTCCCCAATTCTGAATTTGTGCCTTATTTTCTATTGTGCATCATATATCTATTTACTAAATTACAAATATGGTTTTATATGGTAATATTGTGTTATTATAAAATATGGTCAATAATATTATGGTCATTGAATAAATACTATATATACTTACTGTAAATATTCTATATCGAATTGTAATTTTTTTTGCATTTTTTTTAGTTTGCATAAATAATGTATATATATGGGAATCAATAAGTGAAATTTTTGAGTGTTGATTAAATGTTTTAGGCTATTTAAATAATCCACCTTTTGATGATATTAGTAGTAGCATCCATAGTTTAGAAAGGCAGAGGTTCTTCTATCGTAGAATTACTGTGTGTACAGATTCGCAAACGCGGCAAAGATCCTAAAATAAAGCCGATATTAATTAACAAAGAGGATCCGAGCTGCGTTAGCGATCTGAGTACGGCTGCAACCCCTGTCGCCGAGGTCTCTAACCACTTTGAGGAAATGCATCCTAAGGACGAATTTGAGTTGTTGCAAGCCACACTCGAAAAAGTGAGTTTGTCACCTCTGTCTACAGTGTTGCCAACTTTGTGATCAAACAATTTTACTATAAACTATAATTAAAATTTATTACTAGTATCAAATCAAAAACAACTCATAAAACAATACCTGTTGTTGTTGTCATGTTGTGATATAAGTTTTACTAGAACTAATACAGTTAAATGTAACTAAACATTTTAAAGAGTAATTTCTGTGACTATAATGAATTATAATTAAAAGCATGTACTAAACCACTATAAGTTTATTCGCGTTAAGAAAATAGTAAGCCATCAAGTGCAACAGCAGATAAAGGTGTATACAAAGTGGGAGTAAAAATTCAATTTAAAATCAAATTTTCAAAAGATGTTAATTAAATAAAATGATGAAAATGAAGAGTTTAATGGATAAAAATCAACTTAATTATCTTACTTATCTCAAATCATGTATTTGAGATGATAATGACGTTATTTTGATTTGAGATAATTAATGAACATAATTATCTCAAATCAAAATAAAGTAATTAATAATATATTTAAGTCTGCCTTTACTGGTCATTGTAAAATATGACTTTATAATTTTAAGCAACTTAATTGGTCGGGGGGGGGGGGGGGGGCTGCGTGGTTAGGGCGGTGGACACCAATCATTCACTATTTTCTTAATGCGAATAAAATATAGTTTATATTAGTAACAAATGTAAAATATTTAAGTTGGCAATACTTGATAACCTGTGATAATGTCTTCTACTCCACTATATCACTGTTTCATTATTTTTTTTAATAATTTTTACTACCCTAGGATGAAATGGTAAAATTTACTAGTTATTAGTTCTTAGCTTTATCCAGCCACAGCTTTGATATATTCTATTAAGTAGTTAAGTTGAACATGGAAGACTTTTAATAAGTAATGTCTTAGAAAATCATTTATATTAATAAACATTAATTAAATATGTTATGTAAGAAATGAATATGATATAGGTGTTTAGATGATTTTATACTATGTAGAATAATTATATTTACAAAATTGTAGTTTTTGTCTTGGTTTTCTTTGAATATTGTATGTTGTTTAATATTGGATAATTTACCTGCACTTGTGGAATCATTGCTTTGCATGGGTTATTATTTATTTGCTGTATAAATATTGCTATTTTTAGTTTTCTTTATTATTCTTTAGTTTTTGTCAACTCAGTTGTTTTAGTATTAAGAATTAAATGCATGGATTATGTTACAATGTTCCTTATGTTTTTTTAATGTTATTTTCTATAAAATGTATGTATTAGCATGCACTTTTACCAACTTACTATAACGCGGTTGGTTTTTGTTGTTTGTTATCTTTATTGTTCCTTCAATTTTCAAAGTAAGGTTACGATGAATTACTTCGTTTTTCTTTAATTGTGCAGCACGTGGAGAAGAAAGAAGAAGTGGTAGAGAAGAAGGAAAATAAAAATCAGAAGCAAGCCAAAGGTGGCAAGGCATCACAAAAGCAGAGTGTCCCTGAGCCTGTTAAGGAGGAAGTACGTGAACAACGCAGTATTGTTGAAGCGCCTCTAGAACAGCGCAAAGGTTTGTATTGAGTTTTAATTACAATTTAATTATGTTACAATTTCAATAATAAACTAGCGACTCATATAAGTGCTTAACTGTAGCCTACTCCAAGTCATTGTCTCATCTGTACATTACGACATTTAATCCAAATCCGTCGAGGTGTAGCAAACAAACACACACAAACACACGCTCACGACTCTTATTCATTTACCTATAACTAAAATAGTGTATATTCCTTTTATCGAATTATTGTAGCAAAGAAAGCAGAAAAGAAAGTTGTAGAAGCATTGACCGAGGAAGTGGTGCCGCCGCTGAACGCGCCGCAGCCGAGCGAGCTCACCACCGACAAGCTGCTGCGGCAGGTGCAGAGCGCGCCCGCGCCCGCGCCCTGGCCGCCCGCCAAGGGCAAGAAGAAGAAGCCCGAGCAGAACGTACTGTCACTTATTGGTGAGTGTTATCATTTTTTTGCTTTTTTTTGTAGAAGAGCCAGTGGTAGCCCAGAGGTTATGCACTCGCTTGGGAAACCGAGTGAAGCGGGTACAAATCCCGGGTCTCGCACCTCTGATATTTTCATGTGTGAAACTTGTCTGGAGGTGAAGGAAAGCATTATAAGAAAACCTGTATGTCCGAGAGAATCTAGCAAGTTTTCCAAAGACATGTGAAGTCCGTTCACCCGCACTTCGCCAGCGTGGAGGACTATGGTCAGAGCCCCCTCGTAGTAAAGAGAGACCCATACTTAGCAGTGGGAGGTTAAAAAGTGGCTGAATACCATTTGATTGATCTTTTTGTTTTCGTTATCTTTTTGATCATTTGCGGTTTGGATTAGTTTCTAATGCAACTGTAACTGTATTTGTGTGTATGCAGGTCTGCCCTTCGATACACGTGTGGCATAAATTTTTTTCGAAGCGAAACATATATCTAGTAGTAGTAGAAATATGTTTTCTGTTTTATATGTTTATATCAAAATGTTAGCGTTATTAAAACGATATCTATCTACTCTTGTATTTAGCGAATAAGCGGTCGCGAGAATGTTATATATGTATGTAAAAACATAATTTTAACTAGTTAAAAAAAAACAAGGAAACAAAAAATGAATAGGTACAAATTATTCTTTATGAAAATTATAAATTGAAGAATGTAACGGAAGTGTGTAATCCGCTAAACGTGGAGATAAAACTGCTGTGCTGTCGGACAAACATGTTGTCCATTCCACACAAATACAAATGGCGACGCGACACACTCACCGCTTACTAGTAAACAGTGAAATGTAAACAAATACGATACAATGTTGTCGTCTACAGTAATACGAGATAACTCTTAACATATTTTCATTTGTTGTTATTTTTTTTTTTGATTTAGTCTTTTCCAATTTTTTTCTTAGATATACATAAATGATAAATATAATAATAATAATATACAGAAATATTGTATGTTTGATAATATAGTAAAATTCTTAATTGCCTCGATTTTGAAACGATTCATATAATCGTTCTTTCTTATCTAAGGAATGTCTTTTGAATAAGTAATAATTAAACATATCTTAAGGTTGATTTGTGATAAAATAAAGAACTTTTTTAAATAGTTGGGTCTCATATGAAAGATACGGCAAAAATACAGTTTATAGGACTAAATAATAAACTATTATCGACGCGTAGTTGATTACTAGATATGCCATCCCATAGAGTTCGACCACGTGAGTTCATTGGACTTTAATCCTATTACGTGTCATCAATGGTGCGTCACTCTTTGCAATGATGATTGCAATGTAGACCAGGGCCGAAGCCTTCAAAAATGGTAAATAATGAAAAAAAATTACAGTAGGATGAAACCCATTAGAAAAGCAGGGGAATATGATCAAAATGAAAGGAAAAATAAATTACGGTCGATCCGAGTTCGGGAAGTGGGAGGGGGTGAGTTTTAAGGGTGAAAAACTGTTTATCTTGATTTCCGGCGAAACTACCAGTCCTATGGAAAAAAGTTAAATGGCAAAGTTGTAGGTCATAAAAAGATCTACAACTTTTGTATCTACAATTTTTTCAAATAACCTCAAAATTTAGGTGAAAAATTCAAAAAACCAAGTTTTTGGTTTTTTATTTATATCTTTTTTTTAAAAAAAATTTTTTCTACGAAATTTGGTGAAAACTTACCTTATTATGTCCCAAATATACTGTAATTTATTTGATTAAAAATATTTATTTTTTCGCCTCATGTTAACTTAATATCAAAAAAGCACCCTAATTTTTAATCGAAAATTCTGACGTCAAAATTTCAGCTTTTTTCAAAAAGTTTGGGGGCTTTTTGTTCGTTGAAATATCTACTTTCTGATGGTGTAAAAAAAATATACATTACTATAGGAAATATTATTAGAAAATGCAAAAAATTGAAAAAACCTCAAATTCGAAAAAAAATTTTTAATTACTATGTACAATTTTGAGGTGTTTATTAAAATTTACACTTTAATTACTCAAAAAACGTAAGATTTCATGTTTTATTGATAAACGAAAAAATTGCAAATTAAAATATACTTCTATAATTAACAAACAAATAAGTTAATAAAGTTAATATTTAATAAGACATCTACAATATTTTGAAAAAGTTGTAGAATCTTCTTTAAATAATATTTGTAGATGCCTATTTATTGCTGTTTTAAGATAATTTATATACCTGAGTGACCTTCGGTGAATTTTAGCCCATTGTAAGTTATTTCATTGAGAACTGGGGACGGACCTAGGAGGGTCTGGGCCTTACTACATACCTGCTATTTCGCATTTTCTAATAATATTTCCTATAGTAATGTATATTTTTTTTTACACCATCAGAAAGTAGATATTTCAACGAACAAAAAGCCCCCAAACTTTTTGAAAAAAGCTGAAATTTTGACGTCAGAATTTTCGATTGAAAATTAGGGTGCTTTTTTGATATTAAGTTAAAATAAGGCGAAAAAATAAATATTTTTAATCAAATAAATTACAGTATATTTGGGACATAATAAGGTACGTTTTCACCAAATTTCGTAGAAAAATTTTTAAAAAAAAAAAGATATAAATAAAAAACCAAAAACTTGGTTTTTTGAATTTTTCACCTAAATTTTGAGGTTATGTGAAAAAATTGCAAATACAAAAGTTGTAGATCTTTTTATGACCTACAACTTTGCCATTTAACTTTTTTCCATAGGACTTGTAGTTTTGCCGGAAATCAAGATAAACAATTTTTCACCCTTAAAAACTCACCCCCTCCCACTTCCCGAACTCGGATAGACCGTAATTTATTTTTCCTTTCATTTTGATCATGTTCCCCTGCTTTTCTAATGGGTTTCATCCTACTGTAATTTTTTATGGTTTCAAAAATGATCGACCCTGGTCTAATGGTAGCGCTATACCTATATAAAACTATTAAAATGACGCGTTCATGAAGATAAGAATTTACAAACGTGGCTATTACAAAAGATATAGTATAAATTTCAATCGTAGCGCAGTTGAGTATTATACATATATGTATGTACATACTTTATGTGTATAATTTGAAGACCATGGAAATGGCCATGGCCATGACGGGTTCGATTTCTCTGACTCGTCATCGCTTTTAAAGAAATTATGTGAGATTCATCAAAATGATTCAAACGAGTCTAAACTCGAAGTCTGCCCGCCACCTCAAATCAAATTCTTGTATTGTTATCAGAACTACAATCAAAAGTAGTATTAAAATAGTTTAAAATCGATATAGGTATATCGTAGATATTATAAGTGGCTTAAATATACTTTGATTGCGTAGTAGTTAAGTCGTCGGCTTGCCTTGCCGGCTAGTTGAAAGATAACCATCCAATGTGTATAGGTGTTTCGATAAGATAATAAATGGGTACAATAGTAAAATTTAAGGTTTTTTAAATGTAAATTATAATTTGAACTTTAGTACTTTAAATTTCGATTTATAGTAACAGAAACTATGCACCAATCAAAAACGTGTGCAAAAGATAACCAAAAAATGAATCACATCACAATTTTTTAAAACAAAAAAAAAATATTTTTGTATCTATAACCATTTGTTTTATCATATTTCATGCGATCTGAGTTTGCCTGTTCGAAGTTAGCGTAAAAGAATGCCGCCATAATATTTTTTTGGAACTGTTGTTTTTTTTTTGGAAACGGTGACAAGAGAGAAAATTATGTACGTGGTATAAATTCGAATGCTACCTTAGATTGCGAGTAATTGATCATATTTGTTTTATCAATCTCGGCTTTTATCATTTATTTTTACTAAATAGGCAAAATCAATATGACTCATAAAAAACATTTTTTTATCTAAAATCTTTTAAGTATTCTTTATCTTTATTTACATATTAGAGACAAACACATGGAACATTTCGTTTAACATTATACATGACGTTCTTATGAATACTATTTCAATATTACTATTTATTTATAACGTATGATTGACGTAAGAACTTTACATACGTGAAAGTGGATACATTCGATTTTTTTATTCTCTTAACTATATTCATGGTATCCCTATATTAATTATTTATTATATTTATTAGGTTGATTCTCCATACAAATTTCATCCCCATTTTCACCCCCTTAAGGGATGATTTCACGGATAAAAAGTACCCTATGCCCTTCCCAGGGTCTTAAACTATATCTTCTTACCAAATTTCATCTAAATCAGTTCAGTAGATCCAGAGATTACCCCCTATAACCTCACAAACTTTACGTCTTTATAATATAGTATAGATGTAACAAATATTTCGGCTTTAACGTCCTACTGCTGGGCAGGGCCCTTCCTTTAATTTGAAGGAATCAGTCCACCATGCTGGCCAAATATGGCTTGGTAATGGATCGGTAGGTCTCTTGAAAACTAGGTAACTTCTATCAAACATGTAGGTTTTCGCACAATTATCTCCTTTACCGTATTAGTAAGTCGTCGCCTTACTGCTTATTTGTTCAAACTACCAATCCTTGTTGTACTTTAGGTTAAGTAGAGGTCCTCTATTTTAAAAACGAGCTTTATTTCTGAGTTTTATATACATATAACATAGACATAAAATACATCTTTTCGGCTTGGTTTTACAGTAAAATGTGAAATTTTCAATAATTCTGTACTAAAAACTCTTTTGGTACATTTGTGGTTTGGGAAAATAAGAAGTGGGTCTCGATACTATTACCATTCATATTGCATTTATCTATGCATATAACAAAATTGTAAATAAGCCGAATCTGTACATGAAATATTTTTTGGAAAATCTTATAAAAATAAACATTATTATCGATACAGGTGCCGAATCTATAGTTTTTAGTATTTTTGTCTGTCTGTCTGTCTGTCTGTTACCGGATCACAGAAAAACCACTGGAAGGATTTTGATAAAATTTGGTATGGTGATAGCTGGTTATCCAGGTCAACATATAGGATACTTTTTATCGTGGGGAAATATCTCATTTTTGAGAAAAAATGCAAAAACTGCAAATGCAAATGTAAGAGTATACTAATCTGTACACCCTAAGAATTTGGTTTTCGGTCATCTGAACGCGATCGGAGCTGCGGGCAATGCTAGTATGTATATAAAAACCTTAAAGTTAAAAATGATATTCATTTCGGTACAGCTAGTGAGAGCGGTGGCGTGGCGGTGAGCGAGCTGGTGCGCGTCGTGCGCGAGGCGACGCTCTCCCGCACCGAGATCCAGATACTGACGGACGCGCTCCTCAACAAGCACCATGACCAGCTTCCAGAGCACTCGGAGTGGACTGAGGTGGAGTGTTTTTATTTTTTAACTAGTAGTTCTGCGAACAGTAGATCTCGAGCACAAACTTTATTTTGAGGAACTATTCCGCCTATCACTCTGAAAATCCTAATCATATCTACACCATTTTTTTATGAGACCGACTTAAAGTTACTTGTAGTACTTTTCAAATAAAAAAAGAACCATCGAAATCGTATCTCATAAGCCGAGATATCCAGTAGCTAAAAGTTAGAATATTATATACATGTGTAAAAAAAAAAGAGACAGACAACTCAATTGGCAGCCTTAAAAAAACCAGACAACACCTACACCAAAACAGACGCGGAGACCAGTGAACTGCTGCTAACAACCCACTTCCCTGGCTGCCAAATTGCAAACACACAAATATGGGAGCCTTACGAAGAGAGAGCTACCAGCAGTCCAGACTGGAACGCAGCCAAAAACATAATTAACAAAGAGAAAACAATATGGGCAATAAACACTTTTCTCCCTTTCAAAGCCGCTGGCCTCGATGGTATCTTTCCCGGGCTGCTAAAGTGGAGCGTGGACATCTTAGCAGATTATCTGGTAACGCTGTTCCAAGCCTGCATAGCACACCGCTACATACCATTGAAATGGAGAGAAGTAAAGATAATTTTCATCCCAAAACCAGGTAGAGGGGACTACACCCTGGCTAAATCCTTTAGACCCATCAGCCTTACCTCGTTCTTCCTAAAGACGCTGGAGAGACTGGGGGACAGAGAGATTAGGAGCCAAATATCCCTCCAACACCCACTACACCCTAACCAACATGCCTACAGCGCAGGCAAATCAACGGAATCGGCACTCCACAGTGTGGTATCTCGCATAGGGAGCTCGCTGAATCAGAAACAACCCACCCTAGGCGCCTTCATTGACATAGAAGGAGCCTTTGACAAAACCAACTTTACCAGTATGAACAAAGCCCTGCTAACAAGTGGTGTAAATCCTACACTCATAGAATGGATAAATAACATGTTAAAACAACGAGCTATACAGTTTACCGTTAATACTACGAAAAGGGGCATCGTAAGTAGAGGCTGTCCACAGGGCGGAGTTTTATCTCCACTTTTGTGGAACCTTGTTGTAAACGAGCTCATAACAGAGCTCAACGACAACAGCCTGTACACGGTAGGATACGCTGATGATATAGCCATCTTAATATCGGGAAACTTTGAAAGCACTCTATGTGACCGCATGAGGAAAGCTTTCAAAATAACGGAGAACTGGTGCTTGAAACATGAGCTCTCCGTTAATCCCATGAAAACAGAATTGATCATGTTCACAAACCGAAGAGTACTCGGACCCTATAAACTTCCGAAACTCTTCAAAACTGAAATAAAACTAAAAGAATCAGTCAAATACTTAGGTGTAATCCTAGACAGTAAACTGCTATGGAATAAGCACCTTGACTACAAACTTAATAAATCAACCATTGCCTTCTATCAGTGCAAAAGAATGCTAGGCAAAAAATGGGGGCTCTCGCCGAAAATAACTATGTGGCTATACACGGCGGTAGTTAGACCAATGCTAACCTACGGGGCCTTGGTTTGGTGGACCAGAACGGAACTCCGGACTGTAATCACGAAACTAGGACGCTTCCAAAGGCTGGCATTGTCTGCTACCAGTGGTTGTATGAAAACGACTCCCACAGCAGCCATAGAAATAGCACTCCAAACAACACCCCTGGACCTATACATACAGCAAGAGGCGACCATGGCTGCCATAAGGCTGATGCACTTAGGTCCATGGGGGAAAAACAACAACAGTCCACACACATCCATATTGGACAGAGCAATAAAGCAACTACCGCTTATTGCTGCCCCGTGTGATAGAACGTATAACAAACACATCTTCAACAAAAAATTTAACATAAACATGATTGAAGAGAAAATAGACCAACCAGCAGCCAACGAGCTACGAATTTACACTGATGGCTCCAAAACGCAGAGTGGCTCTGGAGCTGGGATATTTTCCCTCGATCTCAATGTCAACATACACATACCATTAGGCATACACAGTTCGATCTTCCAATGCGAATGTGTAGCCATAACGGAAGCCGCAAGGGCAGTGCAAAGACGGGAGGTAAATAATTATACCATAAAAATCCTCTCCGATAGCGCGGCCGTTCTGCAGGCGTTAACAAACAAACAAACAATAAATTAATAATTGAGTGTCACCATGCCCTCGATACAATAGCACTGACCAATCAAGTCACTGTTCAATGGATCAAGGGCCACAGCGGCTCACTAGGCAACGATGCAGCTGACGAACTTGCAAAGAAAGGATCGAGGTTAGAAGTAACTGGCCCATACCCACTTCTTCCTCTACCTTTTTCACAGGTTCGCACCTGGATCCGCCAAAGAACGCTGACGCTTCAAAATAAGAGATGGTCGCTAACGACAGACTGCAGGCAAGCTAGATCAGCATTGCCCGCAGTCAACCCACGTCTCACTAAACGCCTACTAAACTTAAATAGAACCAATCTCAAAATAATGATAGGGACAATAACGGGCCACTGTCCCTTAAACAAACACTTATTTAACATTGGCGCAACGGACAGCCCTCTCTGCAGAGGGTGTTTTAGCGCTGTAGAATCAGTCGCTCACGTAGTCCTGGAATGCGTAGCGGTAACTTCCCAACGAAATGAAATCCTCGAACCGGTGAGGTCGCTCCGCGAAGCCTGTGAAGCTCCCAGGAAGCTTTTGCGCTTTTGGACGGAGTTAGGCTGGCTGAACTAGCCAGGATTCGCAACGTACAACGGACCAAATGCGAGTCTAAGTGCGGAAAACGAGTCCAATATACAATACAATACAATACATGTATAAATAAATACATACATACATATATAAATGTAGATCTGGTAATTAAGTTATAAGAAATTTAATATATAAAGACAATATGATTTCAACAGTAGCTTAAAATTATAATTTTATATATTTAGGATATGTATTTGTGTGTACCAAGTACATCGCCTACCATCCATATTAATATTATAAATGTGAAAGTGTGTTTGTTTGTTTGTCCTTCTTTCACGTCGAAACGGATTGACGTCGTTTTTTGGGTGGAGATAGTTGGAGGACTGGAGAGTGACATAGGCTACTTTTAACCGAGGGAGAGTATCTCATTCCCACGGGAACATGTTATAATACGACCCAAAAAAATATTTATGATCAGAGTTACTTGAAACTTGGGATTAATACTCTTCAATACAATTAAATAAATAAGTGTTTTAGCATTTTTCGAAATTCATCCCATAAGGGGGTAAAATAGGGGATGAAAGTTTGTACGAAAACTACCTTTTTAGTTTTTTTGTAGTTTTAGCGCGAGCGAAGTCGCGGGTTCTGCTAGTTTCATATAAATACTCCTCCACCCTAAGGTTGCCTGGAAGAGATCGCTGATACCGATTCCCGTGCATCATCTATTGTTGATTTTCTCTTTTGTATATTTCTTTGTGATGTACAAAAAAGTATCTATAATATTATAGTCTTAATACTTGACCTTGGTCTTTTACGCGATCTGCTACTAAATAAATCTAATATGTACTAGTTTACTTAAGATAGTATTGTTGATCCTCTAATGAAATAAGTAAAGCAAATAATTATATTTTCTAAACCACGTTCAAGCTGAGAATGTAATGATTATAATAATCTTTGTTTTGCAAATGTGTATTGAAGGCTACTCAAGTTCACAATTTCTATTTAAATTGTATTTTAAATAAGTTTTGTTATTATTTATAACATAGAACAATAAGTAAATTGTTTTTAATTTTTAGGGTCCCAATGACCCCATGCAAAAGCTTAAAAAGCAGCTCGCCGCTAAGGAAAAAGCGCTTGCCGAAGCTTTGGAAGCTTCTCAAGCATCGCAAGCCTCATTGAAAGAACTTAGGTAAGTGCAATGATCTTTTATATTTTTTCTGTCTGTCTGTCTGTCTGTCTGGGAACGCATCACGAGAAAACCACTAGATGGATTTTGATGAAATTTGGTATGATGGTAGCTGGTTGTCCGGGTTAACATACTTGGATACTTTTTACTGTAGGAAAATATCTCATCTCTGAGAAATCTATACTAAACGTTATAACGTATCTAGGGACGAGTGCTGTTGACGTATCTAGTTTCCGAGCGGAAGTTGCTAGTAAATAACATACTGAATTTAATAGAACTTTAGAATATAAATCGTTAATCTCTTATAGACTAGATAAGATTGTATATTGCAACAACATGTAACATGTTTAAATTCGTTATTAAAATTATTTACATAGAAATTGAGGTATAGTAAATATGTAATGTTGCTCTTTGTTATTTGTATGTAAGTGATAATAGAATACGAAAATAATTTAGTACAATAGTTAGCTAGCGCGAGCAGGGAATTATTTGAGATTTGTTAATGTAACAGATAAAAACAGTAATTTAAATGTATATATGGCTGATTTTAGTTCTCTAATATTATAAATGCTTAAGTTTATGAGAGTATGAATGTATTTATTAAAAGAGTTTTGATAAAAAATATAGTATTATAGCATTATATATTGTACATTAGAGTAATACACAAGCTATAATTATACACTCATACATAATTAAAGTACGTGAGTGGAGCCACGAGAAAACCCTAGTATGCTTTTAATTATTATTCTCTTTCCTTCTCTCTCTTTCTTTTTACCCAAACGCTGCCTGGAAAAGATCGCTATCTAGCGATAATACCGCCTATTCTACAATTTGTATTTGTATCATCTATGTAATATTTGACCAGCTGGTTTATCTGCCTAAACGGATCTTCTTGAACATGTAAATGTAGAGTGTATTTTATGTTTGTTCTGAATATGTGTTAATGAGTATAATTGTAAAGGGCGAGCCTGAACGCGGAGCGCGAGCGCGCGGGCGGGCTGGCGCGCGCGGCGGAGGCGGCGGGCGGCGCGGCGGCGGCGGCGCGCGCCGAGCTGCACGCGCTGCAGGCGCGGCTGCAGCGCGTGCTCGACGACAACCACGCGCTCGCCAACGAAAAGCATGTGGTGAGCTTACTACTTCTCTCACTGCTTATATTTTATACCAACTATATTTACCGATACGAGACGAGAACGTGCATAATTGTATAGCTACGTCGATATAATGGCTAAAACTCACATTTTTTAGGTTTTAATTAAAGTAAAGCAGAAGGAATTGTATTTTATGAAATTGAATAAGTGTTTCGGATACAAATAATTACACTTACCTTAATCAGTATTTTATAAAAAGGCAGCATTTTAAACAATGGTATATTCGGTGACATCTCATGGTGCATAAATTACTTCAAGTATTTTTTTTTTTTAATATATTATGTTTTTCAATTTCCAGCTACAAGCTAAATTGAGCGAAGAAGGTGAAGCTCAAGCACAGCGCGTACAAATGGAAATGCATATTCAAAGGCTTTCAGAGGTAAGATATTTTTGTTATACAGAATTGGTCATTTAAAATATGCCATATAATTAATACAAATACTATTAAGTTTAATAATTTATAAATTATATAAAGTATAGCCTAAACCTTCGTACCGAATACTTCTTTCTATTATTGAAAACCATATGAAAGTCTAAACAATTTAGTTCCTAGGATTAGCCCGAACAAACACAAACTCAGCGCAGCAGGCGTGCGTCAGTGTACGTTATAGTGTATAGTGTAAGAACAAGCAATTGGGTATTGGGGGGCTCAGTAGTGCCCGGCAACCCAACCGGGCGCGAAGCCAAGAAACGCACAGGGAGGTGGCCCACTTCGGTGGGCGGTGGGAGGTGGCCCTCTTCGGAGGGCAGTGTACCATGCGGGTTGCTCCTGGTACTTCTCTGATAGCAGAGTGGACTGTGGAGCAACCCCGTGGTTGTTGTGGTCTGCTTCGGCAGACCTGCCGTCGGGGCGTCGTAGTTGAATGCGTAAGCGATCCTGCGACGCCCCATTAAGACGGGGGAAGGTTTCGTTGGGTTTTAGTGGGTAGTACTGGCTTTGCCGGTGAGTCCCACACCTCGTGCGTAAATGCATTTCCCAACGTTAAAAAAAAAAAAAAGGAGTGCCGTTTGGGCACCATTTACTTCGCGTAGACTAGAGAAGACACGTTATATATATAGAATGATCGGTATAAAATAGTTAAAAAAAAACATTAGTCTGATTACATGTAGAAACGGAGCAATAACTACATAGTATAAAACCAAGGTCGCTTCCCGCTGTCTGTCTGTTCCTATGTAATTTTTAGATCTAAAACTACGCAACGGTTTTTAATGCGGTTTTTTTAATAGATAGAGTGATTCAAGAGGAAGGTTTATATGTATAATACATACATATTATAGTACAGAATAACCAAGAAATTCAAAGATTTGTATTTCATACTAACCGCTAAAACGTACTTAGGGACGAACCTGAGCGATGCGAGGATGAGTCGCTAGTTCGTTATAAATGGTGTCAAATAGGCAATAATAAAGAAGGTTTGCTTGCATCGGCAGTCGGAGGTGGCGCTGGTGGCGCAGCTGGGCGCGCTGCAGGCGGAGGCGGGGCAGGCGCGCTGCGACGCCGCGCTCGCGCAGCAGCACGGCGCCGAGCTCGCGCAGCAGCTGCAGGTAGCGCTATATACGTACACACATGTAGGATCCGGGGATACCAATAAAAGCGTTATTGACACACTAGTAACTATTTATTCCATTTAAATCATAAAACACGTATGTGTATAATGTTCTCGCGTATCGTCGCGTTGCCTTTATGACATATCATCCTTCTTTTCGTCTATTCCTCTTCCATTCCATTCTTAAAATTAAATCATACATCTTCTTTTATTCTTAAAATATTATTTCACGCATACTCATCTCGCAAATCCCACATACATGTCATATGTCTTACATTAGTTTGTGATATTTTGTAGTTGTTTTTATATTTACCTATGTGAATATATGCGAAATTGTAGCCGTGGATGACAATAAAATTTAATATAATTAATTTATAAAAAGTAACACATTTTGAACCAATTTAAAAAGAAGATGGTACTTTTATGTATATTACTTCACATGTTTACCTATTTGAAGAAAAAAAACAAATTCCACATTTAAGTGGATATCTTTAATATTTGAAATGTTTTCTATACAATAACTAATTGTAAAAAATTAAAATTCTTTAATTGTAACTAATCTGAATCTGCACATTAAATATTTTTTGGAATTTTTTTATTTACATAGACATTATTATCGATGGAGAGGCCGAATCTATAGTTTTTAGAATTTTTGTCTGTCTGTTACCGCATCACAGAAAAACCACTGGAGGGATTTTGATAAAATTTGGTATGGTGATAGCTAAGAATTTGCGTTTTGGTCATCTGAACGCGGGCGGAGCCGCGGGCAATGCTAGTTAAGTTATAAAGTAATTATTGTTAAGTAGTGGAATGCTAGTATATTAAAGGGAGGTATAATATTGATACAAGACCAATCCACATTGGGAGAGTGTGTTATTATTTCCCCTGTACACATGTGCAACAACCTTGTACTTATTGTCATATACAATGTAACTAATTTGTTTTTTTTTTTTAATTTGGAACACGCAGTATACTAATAAAAAATATAAAAACTATCGTAATGTTTGAAACTCAGTAATAAATTTAATTGCAGGAGGCCAACCGGCTGTACGCGGAGCTGGAGCAGCAGCGCGCCTGCGCAGTGCACGCTGAGCAGCTCGCACAACAAGAACTGCGCTCGCTGCAGGCGCGTCTCGCCGGTTTGTACTTTATATCCTCAGTAGGATTATAAATTTACGTTATGTAACATGTTTATGTTACTAGAATCTAGATAAAGAAAAGTGGTCCTGTCCAAATCTCAATTTCGTTTGTGACTTTTGAATTCATACAAAAATCTTATAGATAGCACATTCAATAATTTTTGGCAATTTTTTTTTTACTAGATAAAGCCTTGTTTAAAAAGCAGCTGTATCCAGTCTTTTCTAAGAAATGGACATATCAACAAACAGTCCAACGATAATTCACTTTTATTAGATGTAAAATTTATAAATCTAATATAATAATAACCTGTCACTCCTACCAAAACCTCATAAAGTAGTATTTTAAAGAGGGAAATAGCTCTGAGATAGTTCTGTGACTACAAAAAGCGTGCAAAAGAAAATTTATTCAATTTATTTGTATTTAATAAGTAGAGCAAATTAAATTACACAGGTCTCACTGAACTTCAAAATGAGGTACAACGTTTGACGAACCGAGCGCAAGCCGCTGAAAGCAATGCTGAGAAAATTAAAGATGAGATGGAAAAAGAAAAACAAGACGTAAGTATTAAAATCCATACTAAATATTATAAATGTAAAAGTACTTGTTTTTTACCTTTTCACGCTTAATCCGCTGAACAGATTTCAATAATATTTGGCAAGCATTTAGATTGCATCCTGGGATCGAGACATAAGCTAGCCTTGAACCTTGCCCCGCTTATCACGCGAGCGAAGTCGCGCGCAAAAACACAGTATACAGAACAAAATAATATGTACATCAACGATTATACGATGGTAAATCTCTGTAATTTTCACACTTATATTTGTCGTTGTCATGCTGATTTTTTATGACACCTAAAATCAAATTAAATTATTCTTTATTCAAATAGGCTTTTACAAGTACTCTTGAATCGTCAATTTTACATTTTAAATCTTATATCTTTAAACGAGCAATTCTTGAATATATATAATCTGAATCTCGGAAACGGCTCCAACGATTTTCATAAAATTTTGCATACAGGGGTTTATAGTTTACAGGGGGTCTTATGTCCGAGAAAACGGGTGTTTTCGAGTTTTCATGCAGTTTTATTTTGTATTATTCCACGCAAAATATGGTCGGTAATTTGCATGCTCAAGCATTGTGGTCAAGCGGCCAAGGTGCAAGATCAACAATCACAGGTGTCCAACTTCGAATCTCGGCCGCATACAAAGTTTTTACTTTTTTTTTTTTAAATATTTATTTAAGTTTTTAGTTTAAAAAAAAAAAGAAAATTGTACGTCAGGCTAAAATCTCCGAGCGAAGCTCGGTAGCCCAGGTACATTAAATTAAATGTCAGTATAGTCAGTCCGTGAGGAATCTACTACCGGTTCGGAAAGGCAGTAATGATGAGAAGAACCGGCGAGAAACTCAACAGTAGCTCTTTTAAAATAATAATTGTGTACAATATTGTAATACAATAATTATCAATTTATCCTATGTGAGACCCAACCAGACATTAATTCCACACATTGATATCTGCGAAGTATTCCAAACACGTGGACTCACAGTGTAATGTGGGGTATGCAATAACAAGATTAATAACTAATAAAAGAAACATTTCAGTAAATACTAGTAAAAAGTATATACGGTATATAATGCTGTATATATTATTGTAGCTATCAAAGGAGCTAGCGTCGCTTCGCGAGCTGCTGGGCGCGCGCGAGGCCGAGCTGGCGGAGATCAAGCAGCTGAAGGCCGCGCCGGCGCAGAACGGCCTGCCGCCCACCAACAGCAGTGACGAACAAAAGGTACTATATATTTTGTTACAGTTCCCGGAACATTCATCTCTAAAAATGTAATCTATTGATTTAACTCTATTAGTGTAAAGTTTCATCCAAATTCATTCAGTAATTTACACATGATTTAGTACTAAATCAAAATATCTTCATATATTTTACCTACAAACAATTATTTCTCTTTTTATATTAAATTTAATGAAGGATAGTATAGTATACATATAATAAATCTAATATATTTAAACGAACAATTCTTGTATATATATATATCTGAATCTCAGAAACGGCTCCAACGATTTTCATGAAATTTAGTAGATCTAGATTAGTCTTATGTCTGGGAAAACGCTTGTTTTCTTTTGCATTATTCCACGCAAAATATTATGTTCGATAATTTCGCATGCTCGGATATAAGCATCATGGTCAAGCGGCCAAGGCGCAAGATTGACACTCATAGGTGTCCGTCCGGATTCGAATTTCGGTCGCATACAAAGTTTTTACTTTTATTTATTTTTTCACATTTATTCACGTTTTTAGTTTTTTTTTTAAAGACGTAAGAGTGACAATTATAGGTGTCCGGGTTCGAATCCCGGTCAGATACAAAGGTATAATTTATTATTGTTTTTTTTTATTCAAGTTTTTTTAAAGAAAATTGAACTTTTTAACCAAAAACTACGAGCGAAACTCGGTGGTCCAGGTACTATATAATCAAATGAGCAATAAGGTTGATAGAATCACGATGACAATGTGAAAGGAGGAGAAATTAAGATTAACAATAACAAATAATGAAACTATTCATATTAATAATAAATGTTGAAAAATCTATAAACCTTTTCGTATTCAGCCCTTTGGGCACAGGCCTTCCTTCAGTACTAGGGTGATCAGGCTATAGTCCACTACACTGGCCAAGTGCGGGTTAGTGGAATTCACATGTATTTCGAAAACTTGTTAGGTTCTCTCAGACATAAAGGTTTCCTGATGATCCTTTCCTGATGTTGTGAATGTTATTCTTCGCCGTAAGACATGTGGTAATTATGTTGGAAATAATTTGCACAAGAATAATATATCAGAGGTGCGAGACCTGATATTTGAACCCGCTTCACTCGGTTTCCAAAGCGACCTCGTTACCACTGGGCTACCACTGCCTTCATAAACTACATTAAGCAAAAACAAATTGCTTTATTTTTCCTTACACTTTTAAATTATAAAACATAGAAAATCTTAAATATAAGGTAGGCAACTTATAAAATTTAGACAAAAAACACACTTAGAAAAAGTAGTTATTGTATGTAATATTATGTGTAGATGAATGTATATGGTTGTGTTTTGTGCCTTATTAGGTTACATTAAGCATACAATAAAGCATTTTTGAACTTTAACAGGCAGCAGAGCTAGCAAAGGTGGAGAGTGCGGTGGAGGCGTTGCGCAGCGAGCTGGCGGCGGCGCAGCGCGACAGCGCCGAGCAGCGCGAGCAGCTCGCCGCGCTGCACGACCAGCTCAAGCACTACAAGGACAAGAATAATGTGAGTTACGTATTGATTCTTCTTAAGATCTAATGGACGATGAATATGTCTAATTAATAATACTTTCATGGATATACGACATTTTAAATAAAACTATTTATCCGGTTTTTTTTTCTGAAAGGAAAACTCGGGGATTTTTGACGCTCAGAAGTCAGTATATTAGTTTTTAAGATGGGTAATTGGGTTGGTATCATACAACAATCGTGTCTTTAGGTCCCTTAAAGGCCGACAACGCATTCGCAACTCGTCTTATGTTGCAGATGTCTATGAGCGGCGATAGCCACTTACCTTCAGGTGGATCGTTTGCTCCATTTTTATATCTGTTTATTTCAATTAGACTAACACCAAACCAAACATTCAAATAAAATCCTGAATAAAGCCGAAAAATAGTTTTGTTTAAAATGTGTAACTATTACTCAGACATCTATTTATTGACTTGTGTCTTTGTTTATTCATATCATTAACTTTTGTTTGATTATTTTTTTTAAATTACTATCTATTAATTAATATGCATTGTGCATGTTATTCTTATACTTAATATGAGAATATATTAATATTAAATACTTTAATCTTCCATAAAATAATATAAATACATAATTTGAATTAATTAGTTTAACAATTCTATTCTATATATCTAACCGTGTGGTAACTTGTCTGGCCGGCACTAGGAGTTGCGAACTAAAAACTGGAAAGTAATGGAGGCGTTACAGACCGCGGAAAGAGCGCTCGCGACGAGAGCGGCGCCCGCGGGGCCGCCAGCCGTAAGTCCACGCGCTTCTTATCGCTGCTTCAATCCGATCTGTAACTAATTATTGTCATTTTCATTAAAATGGCGGCAGTTTCTTATTTATTGTAAATGTGGAAACTATTGAAAAATATTTTTTTTAGTATTTATAGCTCTGGGGTGTCTTATTCCCAATAACGGTTAAAAACCGATTTTGTAAAACAATAAATGTTAATTGGATTAATAGGAAATATGCATGCTTTTTTTATACAGTAGCTTACATCGTTATATATTTGTAAGAAAAATATCCAACTCCAAACACTAATATTATTTTTTAAATGTATCCATACGGATACTTTAAACGCCTCCATTTTTACGCGCTTGGCGTAAAGTCAAAGTCTACAACATACAACAGTTTGACATCACATTCGGTGTGACCAATGACGTTGCATTTCAACTACTTTAAATTTTCCACCTATATTTGCTTTTTTTTAATAATTAATTTCTTAATCAAAAAGTAATTACATTAAAAAATATTGATATAGGCTTAATTCAGAAGCAATAAAGATTATAAAAAAATATTTTACCTTTATTTAAATCACACGCATATTCCCTATTATTATAGATATGCTTGCGTGAGATATTTTAATTCTATATGGCGCCAATTTCTTGCTTTAATTGCGTACCTGTATTTATATAGTATGACAAGAAACCAGCACCATTTTGATTTAACTAACTCGTAGGAACCATAAACATATTAGGTGTGAAGATAACATAGAAAATTCAGTCCCAAAATTAATTTTTATATTCTATTACATTTATAATTCAATTATATTTTGTTTCATCACAGTTTTCGTGCTATGTACAAATATATGTATTGTGTCTTCCTTAAGCTTTGTTTAAATTATTTTACACTTTGGATTGAAACAGACTTTATAAATTGTACATATATCGCAATGTATTTAGTTATATCTTCGGCCGGCTTCGCTTAATGCTATGCTATTTATTCCATTACCCACTAGTAGTAATATTAGCAAATCCTATATATATTCCACCGATAATATAAAACATTATTAATTTTCACCCATTAAATTAGTTGCCTGCAGCGCTGAATGCCTCTATGTATTACATTATTATTACAGGAAGCAATAGCAAAGGCGCAAGAGCAGCACTTCACAGAAGTAGCGAATGTCCTCCGCAAGGTCTGTCCGTCCGCCGCTCCCGCCTCAGCCTCAGAAAACAACTGGCTTCAAACATTCGCTGACAATCTCAAAAAAGAGCTGGACATGAAAGAAACAGAAAAAAAACAAATTGAAAAAGAACTATCAACGAAGTTAACGCAAAAAGATAACGAAAGAATTCAATTAGAAAACGATTTACAGAATAAAATAAAGGAAAAAGAAATGGTAGCGAAAGAAATAGAAAACAAATTAAGGCAACAGATACAAGAAAAAGAATCGGCGAAAGCAAAACTCGAAAGTGAGTTACAAAAGAGAGTGAAAGAGGAAGCTAATATTAAGAAGCAATTGGAGAGTGAGTTGCAGGCGAAACAAATAGTGAGGGTTGTCAAAGAGAACGCGGATGACTCGAGGGTGAAGGACTTAACAGCACAAAATGAACACCTACAGGACCTCGTTGACAAATATAAGAGAATAATAAATGATACCGTAAGTTTTTTTTTTCTCTTTATTTAAAGGAGCTTTATCACTCAGTGATTATGTCGCCCCCGTAATAAAAATTACATATTTTATGAACACATTCTTAATTACAATTCACACTATAAACCTATTCATGACGTTGTATGGCAAATAGCAATGTACAAAGCATCCTTGCTTGCTCCGATAAGGGGCAAGCCAAGATACTATTGCACAGACCTACTTGATAATTTTTAATAAAAATATGTCGACGTTCATCCGAGTTCCGTTCACATTCCATCAAAACATGTTGTATATCATCCATGGTTCCACATATTTCACAATTTGGAGATTCCGATAAACCCATTAGATATGTAAATTTGTTTGAAGGAATATGACCCGATCTCAACCTCAATAAAGCGACCACATATCTTCTTCTTATATTGTCAAACCACGGGTGACGAAGAGGCTCACTCTGCAACGTTCTATACCAAATACCTTTTGTAAGTGACCGCTCTTCAAAATATTCATGCCATGTTTGTCTGCATAATAACTTCACGTTTACCAGAAAGTCTGAAGGTAAAGGTAAACAGGTATAAGGTGTACCATCATAAGCTGCTTGACGAGCGGCGCAGTCAGCCTCCTCGTTTCCCATAATCCCTATATGCGAAGGTATCCACTGAATAACAACATTTTTATTCGTTTCACGTAGTCTAAAAATTTTGTCTATTATAATCATGGCTAACGGGATGCCTCGACAATTCGAGGGTATCTGAGCCAAATGTTGGAGGCTGCTTTTTGAGTCTGTAAAAATAACAAAATTTCCTGCTTCTATATTAGTTACATATGAAAGTGCCTCAGCAATAGCTATAAGTTCACAATTCCTAATAGAAATATTAACATTGATTTTAAATTTTTTTCAAATATTTTCCTGAGGATCATAGAAAGCAGCCCCCATGCATGTTTTATCTCTAGACCCATCTGTATACAATTTATAGTGTGAACAGTATTAATTATTCATAAATTTCAAACATAACACTCTAAGTTCCATGACATTAGTTAGTCTTTTAGCAGTTAGTATTCCAGGGACTTCATTATATAGTACATTTGATAAATCAATATTATTAGGCCACGTACTTAAACTAAACACATGGGGAATATCATTTGAATACATGTCTACTTGTCTATACGTTCTGTGTACATTTACTAACAATGGATTGTTTTTATTTCTCCAGTAACCTCCTTGGCATAGGTCGGACAGTTCTTCTAAAATAGTGATAGTTACATTGTTACTTATAGTTTTAGATCTTAAATAAAATTTCTCCGCAAGAAATCGTCTTCGAATTGATAGAGGTTGGATACACAGCTCACTCTCCATTACATATACCGTAAGTTAGCACATTAATATTACTGTTTTGCATTACAACAAAACAGGTATTATGTGTTGAATAAAACACACAGCGTTACGATGAAGAAAGCTGTTGTGTGAACCTGCCTTTAATTAAGTATCTATGGTAAAACTTACCGAATTATCTATGGTTTTATACCTGTCTCCCTCACTCACCAGCGGGCTTCATCTTCCGTCTCAGAAGCATGTTGTAAAGTTTCATAGAGACTTCATCTCACCAGCAAGAACATTGCTGTAACGCTGTGTGTTTTATTCAACACATAATACCTGTTTTGTTGTAATGCAAAACAGTAATATTATGTGTCTTTCTAAAACACACAGCGTTACGATGAAGACCTGTTTGGTATCTGCTGGTGGTAAACACAAACGCTATGATGAGAATAAATTATAAAACTGTTTTAAAGGAAATCAGTTTAATTATCTAATAAAACTAAAATAACATTATAAACAACACTTAATAACTTATAAGTCATAACTTCTGTTAATCTATAAAATCTCTAAAATCAACAAAACACTAAAAGTAATAGTGAATTAAAAAAATAAAATAAAAAGTAATTCTGTTACTTTATAGTTTTAAAATAAAAGTAATTCTTAAACATATCTATAATATAATATCAAAGATACATAAATCAGCTCTTTTATTAAATCTCAGCCATTATGACTAAAATCTATATAATAGATTGACATAATATTTAAAAATTAATATATATTTATTAATTGATAAATAATATTTAAATTAACAGTAAGAAAACTTGCCAAAAGACCTTAAATATTAGTAAAATTTGTACGTAATAAATCACCACTGGAATTAACATAATGCTTATTGTTTACTGGCCGACAGTAAAACTTTCTAAATGTTTCAATGCTCTTCCAGTTTCCTCTATTAAGTATCTCCTGTACAGGTCTATTCTCCAACCAGCTTCTTGAAGCAACAGCTGATCTAATACTGCCTGGTGGGGCATCAATATTGGCATCTTTAAAAATACTACGTATCCAGCCTGCAATCACAGTTCTTGAAGCTGGCTTTAACCTCCCTGACAGGGAAATGAATAGGCTTGTGATGTTCCTATCTGAGCTCCTTCTACTTTGAGATTTAATTATAAGATCCCTAATGTGTTTGACTGGGCAAACATGGGGATCTGGATTCCTCCGCAGCAACCAACCTGATTGTCTGTGTGTTTGATTGTCAGTTTTAGACCCAAATCTAGGCCACAGAATTACCCTATTATCATTAAAAACAAGATTTTCAGGACCATCATCTAGGAGGGTTAGGTCATGAATCCTGCGACCTGAAGCAAGTAGAAGTATCAAGGCTGTTCGCCTGGAAATATCAAATAATGAACCAGAATTTACAGTATATCTTAACCAATCATATAAAAATTTTGTGTCCCATATTGGTAATTTCTTAACTTCAGGTTTAGCTAGTGAAATGGCTTTTAAAACCTGAATAATGAAAAAATTCTTTGAAAGTTCTGCTCCAGATGTCGCACAGTATGTGGAAACAGCAGATTTATGTAAAATTATAGTTCTATAGGCTAATTTATCTACTAATAATAGTTTTGCCAAAAATCTTGCAACTTGATGGCCTTCAGGTATCTTTGGATTGACTTTATTTTTACAACACCATGATAGCCATCTTTTAATTGGGGCCTTATAAGTTGTTAAAGTAGAAGTCCGCCAGCTACTTTTTAATAAGCTTTGCTCCTCTGTGGTCCAGTATGCAACCTGGTCAGCCCACCCCCAATTTTCCAAGCCATCAGAGACAACTCCTCCACTTGTGGGGGACAGTTGCCTGTAGTCAGATCTATCAAGACCTTCCGTAGGTTCTCTATTGGAATCGGTTCTGTTATCGCTCTCGACCGCAGGTCGGGGAGCCAGAAGCATTTGGTCCATTCCGGTGCTATTAGGATATATACGCCCTTCGCGTTGTTTAAATGCGCAAGGACTGGGTATTAAGCTGGGTGGGGGAAATGCCCAGCCCAGCTGGAAATCCCATTGACGGCTGAAAGCGTCGCAAAAAATTGCGCAACCATCTCTGGAATCCAATGTTACGTACTTTGCTACCACTGCTGACTCTTTTGACGCGAACAAGTCTACGTCTGGGACGCCCCAAATTTTGAATATAGCTTCCGTTGCCTGGGGTATTAGGTGCCACTCTGGTACTTTGCGGCCCCTTGATAGGCGATCCGCGATTCCGTTTAACCTCCCCGGGAGGTAAGTGGCTGACAGAGTTATTTGTAGTCTCTCCGTGAGTTTCAGAAGCCTGGTTATCAATTTGAGAAGTGCAAGAGATCGTGTCCCCCCCTCGTTTCTGAGGTATGCAACTAGAGTCCGGTTGTCGGATTGTATTAGAATATGTGCACCTTTTAAAGTCATCCGCTGACTGTTTATGCTTGCAAATACAGGATACATTTCCTTGATGTTGGAATGCCAAAGTTGCTGATGTGGGGGCTCCACTTTCCTGAAATATAAATGTTGTTTAGTTCTGCTCCCCAGCCTGCATCCGCTGCATCTGAGGTTAGATAATGAGTGACACTCTTTTTTATTATTGGCAATGAGCTGTGGTCCACATTTTCCAACCACCATCTGAGATCCTGTTGAACAGTTAATGGTAGATTTCTTCTCTCCCTTAATCGGTTCTGTCTGAACTCCTTCAGTTGCATTCTTCGACAGTGTAAACGGCCTTTGGGAACTGCATAGTTTGCGAAGTTGAGCGAACCTAACAAACTCTGCGCATCTTTCAGAAAACAGTTTCCATTGCTCAAAACCTTGGAAAGAAATATTTTTATTTTTGTTGCCTTCTTGGATGGAAGTTTCACTCTGTTTTGTTTGGTGTTCCATAGTAAGCCTAGATATTCTACCTCCTGAAAAGGCTGCAGAACAGATTTCTGGTAGTTTACATGCCATCCCAAGGTTTCTAATGTCCTCAAGGTTTCCGCAACCTGTGACACAAGCACTGTTTGGTCCTGATTGACCAGGAAATAATCGTCCAAATAAACTAATATGCGGCACCCTTGCGCTCGAAGGATTTCCGCAACCCAGTTTGAGACTGTGGCAAACATCTTTGGGGTCGATGACAGACCAAATGGTAGGGCAGTCAACTGAAGAAGTTCGTTGCTGTACATCACCCTTAGGAACCTTCTGTGCGCCTCTGCAATTGGCAGGTGAAAATAGGCCTGGTGAATGTCTATTTTCACTAACCAATCGTCTATTTGTAAAAATTCTGCTACATCTATCTGTGAAATTAGTTGAAAATGTTTCACTACTACATAAGAATTGAGTCCTCTGAGGTCGAAGATGGGACGCAGACCCCCGTCTGACTTTCTCACCAGAAACATTCGACAAAGGAATCCCGGATTCATGTTTGGAGGTGCCTCTAATATGTTTTTCTGCTTTTGAAGAATCATGTCCGTCATGTCTTTTGTCTCCCTGGTAGCAAAGTTTTTTAACAAATGGTTGTCTGGATATTGTAAAGGAGGCTTCTTTGAGAATGGGATTCGAGCACCAGTTATTAATTTCATTATGTAGCTGCTGGCTCCGAGCTGCTTCCACATATGAACATAATTTCTCAGGCAACCCCCCATGAAATCCTTGACCTGATGGTCAGCTTTGTTTATTACTGGTAGGTGTGTTGGTGTGCTTTGTGTAATTCCTACGAAAGGGCTGATTAGTTTTAAATTTAGGACTTTGTTTCTTTTGTGATTTATAATCTTTAATATTTGAATTATTTGATTTGAAATGTTTTTTGTTTTGAGATTGTGGTGTACCTAAGATTCTTTTTTCTTTAACATAAATAGGTGTGTTAAGCCACACTTGAGATCCACCTAAGGAAGCTATAATAGGCTGTAAGGCTTCACGGCTAAATAGATATTCTTGACTTGGCGGAACGTTCTTAAGTGTATTTTTTAAATTTGGATTATTAATCTCCTTTAAAATACGGTCCCGTCTCACCTCAATGCACTCTGCCCTTTTACCACAGATAATCTGCATTGTAATTTCAGAGTTCTTGTAAGACAGTGAACCCGGGCCAAATATACTAGTAATCTTATCAAACAATGTGTTAGAATTAATATTATTAGGATTAGCAGCTGTCCAGTCTAGTAAATCTTGTAAACCTGATTTCAACAACTGTCTTTGCTCTAAAATGTTATTTGATAATCCGGCTAACAATTGCTCAGTAGAGGCAAGGTAATCTTTATTTCTATCAAAATGACACAACTCTTCATTAAGTTTAAGACCTATAAAACCAGGCGTTGCAATACAAGATTGTAAAGCTTTTTTATAACGAATGCCCTTCCAAGCAGGTGTATCAAATTTTTGTAAATTACCTAACTCCTGTAAGCGCTCTTTGTCTGCTGGAGGAATTATTGTTTTTTCATCATACTCAGTGCCTAAATTACCTAAACATAGTTTACTTGAAGTTAGCGGATTTGATAAAAATTGAGATGTAGATGGAGTATCATATTGTTGTTGACAAATTGATTGATTAGTGTTACATGTTAATTGAGGTAAGCTTGTAAGATATTGAGACATATATCCTACTTGTTGAATAAGGGTATCTATTCGCGGGTCCGAACATGTTTGAACTTGTTTATACTTACTAGAGATTTTTCGTCTTTTGTTGGGCGGATGTGACGCTGTGCCTTCCTCATTCTCCGAGGATGAAGAAGATGACGAGTCACGAGAACTCATTTTGTTCGAAAGCCGATCTTCATCCGAAGCATCAACTCTCGAACATTGTTCACCTCTAAAACTTACCGCCTCGATTCCTTCCGGATTCATCACTACCACAAATCACTACTTTGTATTATTAAGTTAAAATACGTGTACGTATTTGACGCTGTGCGATAATTTAACACAATATTTTAATGTATTTCAAGAGAATTTTCACATAACTTTAACTTTGAAAAATTTTGCAATGTCTTCGCGGCAAAATTCACAAACGCTATGAAACTTTACAACATGCTTCTGAGACGGAAGATGAAGCCCGCTGGTGAGTGAGGGAGACAGGTATAAAACCATAGATAATTCGGTAAGTTTTACCATAGATACTTAATTAAAGGCAGGTTCACACAACAGCTTTCTTCATCGTAACGCTGTGTGTTTTAGAAAGACACATAATATAATATTACATAATCAAATTTGACTGGCCAAGGTTGACTTCTAATAAATGTTTATTTAAAGCCGAAACTGCATTAAATATCAAAGAAATACGCGTTTAAACACGAGGTGTGTATGATTTTAAAATTAAAATTATTATAAATAAATAAAATATCGTATAAATATCTCTCCAATGATTATATGATGAATCATGATCACATAACCCCTACTTACTTATAGGCTACTTTTTACCGCGGGAGATTATCTCATTCCCTCGGAAAAACACGTTATAATACAACCCACAACTCATCATACCTAAGTATCTATACTAATATTTTATAAAGTTTGTGAGGTGGTAGGGAGTAATTTCTGGATATAATACTTTTTATCCCGGATATCAGCCTTTAAGGGGTTGAAAATAGGGATGAAAGTTTTTATGGGGAATTAATCTAAGGACGAACCCGAGCGAAGCAAGGATGTGTCGCTAGTAATGTTTATATATATATATATATATATATATATATATATATATATGTGTGTGTGTGTATCTATTCTATTCTTATACTTATAAATATTATATCGTTTGATTGATCTGATTGTGTACCCCAGGAGGGCGTGCTGTCGCGGCTGCAGCAGGACGTGTCGCGCGAGGAGGCGCGCTGGGCGCGGCAGCTGGCCGACAAGCAGCGCGAGCTCGACGCGCTGCAGACGCACACACTGCAGCAGGTGCGTATTCCATACACCACTCGATACACTACACGCATCGATCATAAAAATACTAGATACACAATCCTATGCAAAACTTCTCATATAACTGTCACCAATTGTATTTAGGTAATTATTACAGTTGAAATAAATATACAACAATGTAAATTGAACCTTAGATGTTTAAAGTTGTTTTCACAAAAAAAAGATTAAAAGCGCGCTCAAATGTTTAAATGAACGCTCATTCAGTGAGGACATTTTTTGTCGCCGATTGGGTATCTAGTATTTTTTGATCGATGACTACATACACGTCATACTGATATCAAATTACTGATCCATATAGCCGTCTAATAAAAGCATCTAGAGTGCTACGTGAGATTTAAACGCGGGTAAGACGCTCCCGAATGTCATACTTACTTTTATGCAACAGTCGGGAACTGCTTTAGGGTTAACGGGTATTACTATAACTTGCCACGAGATTGCTCTGAAATCGTTCACCATGAAAAGTGGTATTTTTGACAACCCTTGCATTATTTGACAGAGTGAGAATCAATATGCGGTCGCCTACTGTACGGATTTTTATACTGTGGTAATATTATAAATACTGAATTTTGTAAGTGACTGCGTCAGTTACTTCTTTACACTCCAATGGCGTAAAAAATTGAAGTAAAACTCGGGACGGGAACATATTTGTTGAAAAAATAAAGTAAAAATTGTGACGTCTACTAATATATTAAAATTGTAACGTTGACAAATTATTACATGCATTTTTACTGCAATCATTCAATCAAGATTCAAGGACATATTATCAACCATTTCATTCAATGTATTGCTATTTTAAATATTAATTCCTCCAGGCTAATTTCTAAGAATTAATTGTTAACCAAACCACCGGTGGCTCGGCGGTCGTTGACAGGTTAATATCCATATTCTGTATGCAAAAATTATAGTACAATACGCTTAAACCTTTTCACCAGTGAAGTATAATATTTTATTAATATAAAATTATATTTCCTTAATATTACATATTTTTTTTAAATATAAAAACACCTAACTTTTCCTCCCGCTAAAACCATCTCATATTAATTCAAAAACGTAGTGTAAATGTTGCTTTATAATACATATATGCAATCTATATGGGCTGTGTATAAATTTCAAGAAATGTTTTTCAAAGAATCATGATCTCAGAAATTTCTGCTTAAAAGTTATCTCGTGACTAATACTTTTGCATATCAGTACTGATTAACTGATAAAATTATTTTAAGTGCACAAGATAATTTAAATATGTATAGTTAATATATAATATAATTAACAATTTTAAATAAAACTATCTTTTCGGATTTTATCGCGGATTTATTTTTATTATAGTTCCCGAACGTTTCGAATGTTTTACAACAATCATGGTCACGGGAGAGACTAAGGTTTTAGACGGAGAAAGGTTGTTATATATTTGTTGCAGACTGTGTGTGTTCGAAACTTCGGGAACCAAAAATCTAATTAAATCCGCGAAAAAATCCGAAAATATAGTTTTATTTGAAATGTCAAATATTCGCGTAAATCTAAGAAAGTATAATATAATTGGCAATTATTTAGCTAAATTGGCTTAAACAATTTCTATATAGGAACCTTTGGCGTTTGCATACTCCTGCATTGAGAGGTCGTTGCCTACCATCGTAGAGGAGGTCAGACGTGCACCTGATTTTTTTTTTGTTGCCTCTTCATTGTTGTGTAAAAAAAATAATGAAATGATTACACCATGTATATTTTTTTAAAGTCATCGAAGTATAAATAATCAGTTTATATGTTACAGTCAAAACTATTTTTAGTCAGAACACCTTTGGACTGTTTTTGTCAGTTATATATTTTAAATAAATCTATACATATAATAAAATTGTAACTAAGTCGAATCTGTACATTAAATATTTTTTGGAAAATCTAATTGAAATAGACATTATTATCGATACAGAGTCCGAATCTATAGTTTTTAGAATTTTTGTCTGTCTGTATGTCTGTTACCGTACCACGAGATCACCACCGGTCAGATTTTGATGAAATTTGGTATGATGATAGCTGGTTATCCGGGTCAACATATAGAATACTTTTTTACCGTGGAAAATATCTCATTTCTGAGAAAAAATACAAAAACTGCATAGTAAGAGTATTATAAGTGTAAAACCTAAGAATTTAGTTTTTAGTTATCTGAACGCGGGCGGAGCCGCGGGCAATGCTAGTAATAAATAAATATAAAATATTGGTCAATGTAACTTTTGACTGATATTGACCAAGAGCGTTAATCAAAATAACTTTTAATAAAAAAAATAGCCTAACCTAACCTTATCTACCTAAAATATTAATAATTTCCTTGATAATATTAGCATAATTCATTTTTCAACCTACTTCCTTAAAATTTTAGAGTTTTTGTCGGCAAAAGTAGTTATAACCACGAAAGAGTTTTGACTGTAACATAAATAATTAAATATAGAAAACAGTTTATTTAATTTAGAGACATGATTTTTGTATCATGCCGTAAATATTTTATTATATTCTTTCACTATAAGTCATCTACATATATGTAAGGCTTATTGGTCTATGTGTACTTCAGGTGAAATCCTTTGGTTTGTGACGTTTGTGTTATATGTGGATTATAGAGGCAAGGGAATTCAATTTTTTCTACTTTTACTTCATTTGTCTTCATTCGGTCTAGTAATAATTATAACTCCATGTAAATTTGTGAATTCTAAAGTCACTTTGTTGGATTTATGATAATTTCTAAACAGTTAAAATCATATATTTTAATAAACTAAGAAATAAAAACAAAGCTTAAGCGAAATTTCTTTCTAAATCATATATTAGTGCAAATATATATTAATTAACAACTAGTAAACAAACATAGCAAATGTCCCTCCATACTTTTAGTTTCTGCAGTCATCTATCAAACTTTTGACTCAATTCTCCTACTTTACTGCTTCTGTACGTAAATGTTTATGACATGTTGTCAGGCTCAATAATGAATCTATATCTTGTTACGCAATTTAAAGCATAATATATTTTAAATGTTAGCAAAAATACTTTTTATAGTGAACCTCGCAACATTGACGGTAACGGTCTCTATTAAGTTAGATTTTTTCATAAAAAAAACCTATTTTACAATTTAAATTACTTAATAATATTTATATTAATTACTCTGTTTACAGATGCAGAACAAAATAGATTCTCTTCAAGCAGAATTACAAAAACTACAAACAAAAAATCACAGCAACAGTTTTGCGGATGCTGAAAGACTTACAGAGGTGAGATTGTCTTGATATAATACTTTAATGTAATGTATTATTTATCTAAAAATAGTCAAAATACTAAAATTTTATTAAAATATATTTTTAAAAACAAGCTTTTTTAAATGCTGAAAAAAGAAGAAAATAAACTTTAAATTAAATCAAACCCAACAACAATTTATTACTTTACACAATTTATATAATATAATAGTTTTTCGCGAGATTTACCTATTTTAAATGTTATATTCTTGTTTTAGTTACGGACTCTTCATGTATTATTTTCAACATTCATTTGTTATAAACCTAATGATTTGCATCTTAAGTTTCATCTGAACGGGTGCGCAACTTAGACCAGCTTGGCAACTGGCTTCCCTCAAGGCGGCGGATCCCGTGGTAGTACCATTGCGGCAGTGGTAGCCCAGTGGTAACGCGCTCGGTTGGGAAACCGAGTGAAGCGGGTTCAAATCCCGGGTCTCGCACCTCTGTTATTTTCATGTGCGAATCATTTCTAACATGATTACCACTTGCCTTACGGTGAAGGAAAACATCGTGAGGAAACCTGCATGTCTGAGAGAACCTAACAAGTTTTCGAAAGACATGTGAAGTCCGCCAACCCGCACTTGGCCAGCGTGGTGGACTATGACCTGATTCCCCTCGTACTGAAGGGAGGCCCACCCCCAGCAGTGAGACGTTAAAAAGGGCTGAATACAATACATACAATACATTCTTGTTTATCTACACAGGTAAATCTCGCGACAAGCTTTTATATCATATAAATTGTGTAATGTAATAAATTGTTGGGTTTGATTTAATTTAAAGTTTGTTTTCTTCTTTTTAGAGCATTTAAATAAAACCTTGCTTTAATAATATTTTTTTACTATTAATTTTTTAGTTTTTATTTTATTCGTATTCTTCTCAACGAACCCTTGCATTTGATATCATAACATGGGGGTGCATTAAAAAATGCTTGTCCGCCATCTTTGATTTAGAGTGACGTCACTTTATTTTTCTCTTGATTTGATACCCATATTGTAGGAGTGCATTAAAAATAACTAGTCCGCCATCCTGGGTGCCCCGCCATGTTGGATTTAGAATGACGTCACACAGTTGTGTGACGTTATTCTAAATAAAAATAAAGCCATGCATTGTCATCCAAACTAAACGTGTATACAAAATTTCAGCTTATTCGGTTGAAGATATCTGCTTCAAAATTGAGTGGCAACATTCCACGCGGACAAACATACATACATTGCAAGTTAAATAAAAGCTTGTAATAAAACGAACTTAAATATTACATTAAATATAAACACATATTGTATGTAATGCACAAATTGGAAAAAATATTTTAAGTATGTAATTAATAATTATATTGTATTTTATTATAACATTGTAATAAGCATTTCGTGTTTCGTGGGATGAACAGATTAACGTGATGATTATAATTTACCATTTATTAAAGTTATTTTCTTTGTCATATTTATACTAAAAAGTATAGACTAAACTTTATGATGATAAAATAAAAACAAGAAGGTTTTTTTTCAACAGGAAAGGCTAATGGCAGGTTTAAACGATAAACACAATGCCGATATACGCAACGGCCCGCTACAGGTCAGGTAAGGATTTCAAATTCAGTATAATACGCGCCACGGAAGATGAGACTTGACGAGCGAAAGTAGTGCGGATACTGCCCAGGTACAGTCGTGTAAGAAATAGTTATCTATAATTTATTTCTATATCTATTTAGGGATTTTTCGATATCATTCGGAATAAGGTGTATGTAATGTTATATTAATATTATTAACAATATTTATTACGAAATTATGCGCATGGTACACATTTGTACCTGCTTTAAATGTTGTACACCTTCTTTTGCTTCTTTTAATATATAACTGTACACGTCGTAGACCATCTTCCTACTTTGTCTTCTTAATGTTTTACTTCGAGGCATAATCAAAATTTTATGAAATTGCACTTGTATGCAACACAACTATAAAAAATGTAGAAATTTATAAACACAAGTTGCACTCGTCTGTACTGCGGAGTCAAGCGGGGCGTGCACGGGGTGAGAAGAACGGTAGGCAACTACCACGCATGCGCAGCGCCGTACCGCGCCGATGACGCCCGATCCCTTCTCGCCTCAGACCTCGTACCGCTAAAGAGACCTATAAATCGTCCTATGCGCAAGACTTCGATCAACAATAATACTAGATATCGGGTCGGAATAAGAAATCCGTCTCGGTAAATATAAGCTCACTTGCAAAGTGAGCGTATATTAGTTCTATTGAAACGCTGCCAGCATAAAGACGTTCACAATGCAATATGCAATATGTATTTAAAAGTTACAAAAATAATACACGAAGAAGAAATTTTTCTGACGGAGTGTCTTATTTTCGGTAAATAAATGTAGATTATGTCAGTATTTCAAGATTTAGCGTACGAAATAATAAAGAAAGGAAATTTTGAACAATTTTAAATCCGCTAAGAACGTTGGCCCAGGCTGGCCAATACATTCGCATATTCTAAGAAGCAAACGGATACAAAATAAACGAATTTAGCTCACAAAGCAACAACGGGAAAAAGTGCTTTAAGCTTTTTGATATAAGGTTGATTTTACAATAAAGATTATAAAAATTACGAAATGATTGTAAGTGTATGATGATAATTTGAAGATTTGTGACTTTATTACAAGGTGCTACGGTGTTGATTAGATTGAAAATAAAACTATTATGAGACTTGGTTCGTTGGTATACAAATGTAGCTGTATAAGTACATATTCGCGCGGACAGAATTTAGCTTTGATTTTGGTTGTGACACGTTATCGAGTAGTATATTGTTGATCGAAGGCGCAAGTTAAACCATGTGGTATGTCAAGTCTTATCTTTTGTGGCGCGTACTATATCACTTGTTTAATGTTTATATGTCTATTTTTTCTTACATGTCCTAAATAGTAAACAAATATGGCGTACAGGTAACCAGAGATAATTCATAGAGATGTGAAATGGGAATGACGAATGAATGATTGAACTTAATGGTTACTATGCAGTGAACGTAAAGTATTGGGTAGAAAAAATACGACAAGTTATTTTAATAATTCTTATTACTCGGAAAAAAGCAAATAAGCGTTCGGGAAATCTCCATCAGGAACGAAGTCCCTCAGTACCATTTTAATAAAGAGTGCAATAAGATACGAAATAATAATAATTACAATAACAAATAAATAATAAGTATAAGTTGATTAGAAGCAATTAAAAATATTCTATATTCCTACAGAAGATACAATTTTTTAAAACCTAATAAAATTTTGAACAAAATGTCGTACTTTGTAATTTAAAGAAATTATTATTTTTTTAAAAGTTCAGTTCGAGAATGGATCTCGATAATTCATTCTAAATGTTCCATCTCTATGATTCAAAGACAAAGTAACGTATCGAAACGTCAAAATGTTGTGTTCATATTTTATCTGTGGAAATTGATTCTGTTAATATTTTGACTTTAGCAAAAATAATGTGTTTAAATCATTAATTAACAGCTTTTATTAGTGTAATTCAAAGCGTGTGTGTTTCTGAAATAGTTATAAACGTTAAAACCAAATCTAAAATGTGTGATTGTCCTAAAACAAATGATATTCGTTCAATGTAGTGTTTGTTTACCATTTAGGACGCGAAAGGAAAAATAGACTATACTAGACTTTTTGATTGAGTTTTAAATAGTTAAGAAATTGCTATTAATATTAGTTTTCTATACTAATATTATAAAGAGGAAAGATTTGATTTTTTGTTTCGAAACTAATAACCCATTTTGATGAAATTTGGTAAGAAAATAGTTTGAAACCCTGGGAAAGGACATAGGAATTTTTTTTATTTTATCCCGGAAATCATCCCTTAAGGGGGTTGAAATGGGCATGAAAATTTCTATAGGGAATCAACCTAAGGACGAACCCGAGCTAAGCGAGGGTGAGTTGCTAGTTTATAATATTTGAATATAGAATTTAAAAAAATTCTACAATTTTCAAGTAAAAAGTATTAAAAATAGTAAATATACTATGACAGAAAAATATAATTCCATTTCTCTTACAATAAAAATTAAATGTTGAATGTTATGTTTCAGGTTGGATTAAATGAGAAGTAAGGAATAATATATGTAATGTACAAAGGAACGGGCGGCGTCAAGGGACGCAGTACGCACCGACGTCCGGCGCGCCGCGCTACACTGCCGCTTATATATTAAGGTTAACCGACAGACGGGCCTGCAGGCGGTTACGAATGATTCAGACACGAATGAGAAAAGCTATCGATTATACATATTAATCGATTTGATAGATTTAAACGACTTTCCTTTTAGTTCAAGCTAAATTGTCAGTACCAACTTCAAAAATATTTGGTCTGGTATTAAAATCTCTAGATTTGAATTCTTTAGAAGCTTGTATTATTGTTACTATCATTCTTAATCGTCTACATCTTGACTGCTCCCTGTGTGGGGTATAAATCAAATATGTTATATATAAAATGCTTCTTAAATGTAGTGTCTTGTCGAAAATGTGTAACATAATAAGTGAAATTGTACTAAAAAACCTTTAGTTGTCGGCGATTTAAAAAATGACTTTTCAATTTTCATATTTTTGAAGCAAGGCTCAGTGGACATTTGTAATATTATTAATTCCAAAAACATATTAAAAAATATGCAACAATTCAAAATGCCAATTTAGGAAATTACATTTTATTGTTATCAGATTAAAAATGAAAGAGTTTTGATTATAATATTGGCATTACATATTTTAAATCTATTAGGGGATTTTAAATCTATTATAAGTTATGCGGATAATAAATAAAATTTTATATAACTTTGGCTTTTATAACGTAAATAATGTAAATGACATGAAATTTTAATTCCTAGTAGGTGTAACATTGATGATTGAACAGGTAAGTTTGGACTGTATTAGTTCGTTAGTTCTATCGTATAAGTAAAGCAGCTTATGATATATTCTTTTATATTTTTTAAATTTTAAATAAAATGTAAAGTCAACAATTTAATTGTAAATTATCGATAATATTGTTGAGTGATGTACGCGGACAAGTTAATGGCAATTTTTTAGTTTATTACGGTTCATATTTTTAATAATGTATTTTCTAAACTACGTTTAACTAAGAAAAACCTTTGCTTTTATGGAATAGTGGTTAATAAATTTAGATTTCACCTTTAAGAAACCAGTCGAAAATTGTTATTGTGATCAATGTAATCCATTTAGTGTAAGAAAAATTAGATTTAGTTAAATGAATATTATATTTTCTTTAAATTCTGTTGCTTTTTCTTAAATGATTAAAAAAAATACGTACCGTAGTGGTATATGTATTGGATAAATTATTCTGATTCTTTTTCTTTGCAATTCCGAATTTAACAAAATTGAGTGTAATATTTTATTTTAGGGAATGTTATTTATCTAGGCTTATATTATTTATAACATTTATACTAGTGCATAATCATTTCTGTCAGTGCCTTAGAGTAAGATTTGAATTTAATAAGCTGACTATTTAATTTCTAGAATAACGTAATCAAATGCATGCTAACAATTAAGTTATCAACGTGTGAAATGTTTTGTTATTTTGAACTTTGGCTATATTATTTTTATTTGGTGGCGTAAGTCCATAGACGGAATACACATAGTAAGAAAGAAATTGATTGCAAATTAATTATATGAAGCAATATAATATTCTCAATTCTTATGTGGGGATAAAATTGATAGTCACGCTTCTGTGTTATTTTAACATAAGAAATTCGCGCACTAACACTTGAAACCTACAATTAATAGGGCCGTGTCAAATTTCCTGATCATTGAATAGCTGTAGTAATATAAATAAAAATAAATGTATAATATTTAAGGCAATTTATATGAAAATTCATATATAGAATAGATAAAGACATTATTAAATAAAATATTTCTATGATATTTTTTTATTTAAATATTAATTTGTTAACCCCTGTAATCGATAATACCCATAATAAAAGCGAACGCACAGTTTTGTGAAGGAATATATTATAAATTATAGAAATACTACTACTAAATGGGAAAGCTTGTATTTATGTGTGTTTGTTATTAAAATCGCTGGACTTAGAGAAATACATAAGTTAGTAATTAATAAAACATTTACAAGTTGATAATATAAAAATAAGATTATTCACAAATACTAATTAAGTATAATTTGATTAATTTTGTTTATTACAAATTACAATATATTTTTAAAAACATGCAAGTATACTCTAGCAAGAAGCGTTAATAACCTGCCCTGAAACATTCTGAAAGTTGGCAGATTAACGACATCTATTGTCATTCAAGCAAACAAAAATAGCCCGAAATCCGAATTAGTGCTGTTGAATTTTATATGACATGAGGCATTTCACGGAAGATAAAAAATAACAAGAAAAGAGGAAGAATGATTGTTTTTTTTTATGGGACTAAGGGGGCAAACGGGCAGGAGGCTCACCTGATGGAAAGTGATCTTTAAGGAAAGAATACGCTCTCTTCTTGAAGGTGGCCAGGTCGTAGCGGTTCGGAAAGACCGCCGGCGATAGCTGGTTCCACAGAGTGGTTGTGTGGGGCAGAAAATGCCTTAGAAATCGCACTGTTGTGGAACGCTGAACATCGAGGTGGTGTAGATGGAATTTAATATTTTGGCGCGATGTCCGATGATAAAATTCAGCAGCCGGGATCAGTCCGAACAATTCCTCGGAACACTCCCCGTGATAAATGCGGTAGAAGATGCAGAGTGATCCAACATCTCTACGCAGAGCTAAAGGATCAAGTATGTGTATATTGGAACCAGTGTCGTCAAAATCACACAAATACACCCATTGATCGTATAGTGTACTACAAATAAACTATCGAATCAAATATTGGTGTTTTATTTTAGTCAATTATCAATAACGTACCTACTGACTTAAACAATAAACAAAAATTTACGTTTATAACTGTAGCACGTATGATGACACTGCAGTACATGTCCCGCATTAACAAAAACAAATCATATAAAAATCTAGGTATCACGCCCGACACAAATTTCAATTTCCGCAAGCACATCCATTTACTTTCTACTAGAGTTCGTAAATTAATATATATTTTTAAATATCTGCGTAACATCGCTGACTTCAAATTGATAAGACAGGTCTATTTATCTTTGCATCAATCCATACCTATGGCCTTACTTCCTGGAGTGGTACTTCTAAAACAATTGTGCTCCTCCTGTAACGTGCTCAGAGAGCAGTTCTAAAGGTAGCCACTTTTCTATCTTACATCTTTCAGCATCAACTTGGCATGTAGTTTACGGTCTGTCAGTTGTTTATCCTGAACATCATATTAAAACAGCATACTGAACTTCCTTTCAATTGAAAATAAATTGACAGAAGAAGAAGGGACTTGGTTGTGAGAACTCTCAAACCAAATACTCATTTGTGAATAGATTTTACAAAGTTTTAGAACCTTTCCTATATAAAATAACGATCTGTTTTCATACACAGAGACGCCTCCTCCACTCTGCCCTCCATAGTATGGAGGGTAGAGATAAGGAGTAAATGGGTAAAATAGTGGATTGCAGATTGTATGAAACTCTATCATACTCATTCTTAGAAATACACAAAAGGTGATGTTTAGTTTTAAGATAAAAAATAGGAAACATATTTACCATTTGTGTTTTTTTTCGAAGTTCATTTCATAAAAGGGTAAAAGGTGATAAGTCTATAGGAGCAAAGAATTAATTTTATGATCAGAATAACTTGAAACTTGGTATTAATGCTCTTCAATACCATTAAATAAATACGTATTTTAGCATTTTTTTAAATTTGAAATCTCATAAGATGGTATAATGGGGGATGAAAGTTAGTACGAAAGTCTATAATTAATATGTAAAAAAGCAAAAAAAATAAAAAAAAATATTCGTCTGTATACAGTTCAAGAGTATTAAAATTAATTTCTTTAAAATGATGTCCACTGGCCTTAAATATAAAGATTGTGATTTTGCCAATTTTGGCCGTCTTATTGCTTTAGCCCACAATTTCTTCAGTTTTTTTTCACTGCACTGCACAATTTGTTATTTTAATTAAATTTTAAATAAAATTTAAGAACCATCCATGCTTTAAAGCTTTACAATATATGTACTGAAGGCCATGGTGATCGCAACATCCGGCGGTAGAAAAAAATTAAGATTCTTACTCATATGCCATTAGAATCTGTGATTAGAATGAAATTGTATTATCTATGCAGTATACACATATGACATAAGTCATAACATTTATGAATCAAAATATTTATATTTATAATATTGTTTACATTTAGATATTATAGTAGTTTCACAATGGCAAGTGAAGTTACTTTAAAGAATGTAGATAATGCATGTGAAACGGCGGAAGAATTCACAAGAGTATTCTACAAGCAAGTCGATAATAGCAGACACTTAACCTCCAAATTGTACCTGGATACAGGGCTTCTAGTTTGGAATGGCAATGGGATCAATGGAAGTGACAAAATTCAGAAGTTTCTAATGGATCTACCCGCGAGCAATCACGTATTAAAGACCTTAGATGCTCAACCCATTCCTGAAAATTTAGTGGCTAATAAGCTGACTTATATGATACAAGCTTGTGGGGATGTTACATACCAAAATGACGACGTTAAAAAACATTTTCAACAAACTTTCCTAATCGTAGCTGTTGAGGGAAAATGGAAAATTGCATCAGATTGTTTTAGATTGCAAGTACCATACAATAATTAACATGATATGTAATGAGTACTGATAAATAATTTTAAGAAAGGAATTTTTGGTAAATAAATATAATTATTATTTAATAAACGCCAAGTTTTATTTTCAAATATTCTACAAACAAAATATTATATATATACCTTTAGTAACAACATAAAAAATGTACAAAAATATCTGCATTCAAACATTCTGCAAAGTGTTGTATTTTTTGAGTTTAGCAAACTTGTTATTAAATAGAAATTTACTTTTCTCTGTAAATATTTAAAAAAATATATGGCAAACAAGTTTAGATAACTGAAATTATATAACACAATAAATTTAAATTTTTGAATAACTTCCTAAATAATAATTACAATTAGAACAATAATGATCTGCTGTTTTAAAACTTGTAACCATATATGGGAGTGCAGATAGGCAGCACAACATGCAACAACTGAAAGAAATCAAAAAAGGTTCTTTTATGGTAGTTTTTAAAGATGTATTTAAAAGTTTTAGTACAAATACCATAATTTGTTTTATGCATCATTAGCAACCAGCTTTCAATAAAAATTATAAAGCAAGTTGTTGAACATTTCAAGTTCATTTTGTTGTTCCTTACATGTGCAACAAAACAATTTATTTACAATATTATTAGGGATTCCTAGGCATGCATTCTAATGCACACATATCAAATAATAATGTTAATGTATAACTCACTATTCAGATATTGTAAGTTGATGATATGTCTGAAACTTTGATGAGTTGTTATACCTTCTTTAGCTTATAAAGTGATCTGTTTATCGCAATTATTTCATTTACAGTGCAAGTTTACAAATCTACATTAAATCTTTTGTTTCATATTATTAAAAGATTTGATTACTAAAATATGATGTACCATAATATAACATATATTACCACGTTTCAATCTATTCAATACTTACAGTGTTAGTCCACAAATAAAACCAGCCAGCATATGGGTTTTATTTGAATTAACAAATTGCACTGTTGTGAGAACTCTTTTATGGCAACTTGGACAATTAAAGTAGGTTGGCACATCTCTTAAACTTTGATGAACTATAATTGTTTGATGTATTATATGTTCGTTAGCCACTGGCGGTCTACTGATTACATCAGTGGGTGAATAGGGTGGGGGAGGGTCCTGTGGGTGTCCAATTATCTGATTTGCTATACCTCTATGCCCTATAACAGAACTACTTGTATTAGAATTTTCCCCTCTATTATTCATTGCTTTTATTGTAAATACTTAAATTGCATGAACCTATAAACAATATTATATTGATCAGTTTTAGACATGTTTATCAGGTACATATCATATTATCTTATCATGTCAAATAGATATGATATGACCATGATATGTATATGTTATATTATATTATAATATATACATATTGTTTAAAAGGGGATTTCATAAGTAAAATAACAGTATTAAACTAACCTTTTTATTTACAATTCATTATAGATAGGTACAATTAGAGAAAACTGCTGATAATGCATGTATTCATAGCTAATGCAAGAAACTGCAGTTAAACACATGTTATGTTTATAGGCCGATCTTTTTTGTAGTATATTGTAAGAAAAATAATATTTGCACTAAAAGATATTCTATAAAATTATATATAAATTATCCACCTCACCACATACCTAAATAAATATTGGCTTAAAATATATGTAAATATACAAGAAAATAAAATATAATGTATAATTACACCTTTTTTAATGTACTCCACAATAGGTAATGTCGTAAAATTGAAGACTTTAGTTTCAATCACAGAATTCATAAGATATATTCTAGAAAATAAGCTATATTTGCCAGAAAGATAAAAATTCTGGTCTAAACTTGCAGATAAATTTCTAAGAAATTAATTGTTGACTGTAAGACTGTTGTGCCCACAGTTTTGAGGGAATAAAAGTCTGTACTTTAAGACTTGACAATACACATTAATAATAATTAAGTCAGTAATTTAAACAGGATCTTTGTAGAATTACAGATACTCAGAATAATATCACAGTTTATCATTTAACATGAATATAATACAAATAAATTCATTTTAGCCTACAAAGCTTTATATAAGTTTTTGTTGGAATGCTTATTTCTAGTCAATTTATGATTTCTCCCTAAATGTTTGGAGGTGTTATTTTTCTTTTTAAATTGGTAGATGAAAACAATATATAGCTGTTTCTTGTAGGTTCTGTTTCTTTGATTAGATTAAAAAATTGTATTCTGAACAGAAGACAGACAGTAGGAACATCTAAATATGTCAATGGTACAAAATCTATATTAAATTAGGGTACAAAAATAGTTTCTTATTTCACTAAACTATAATCAATATATGTAAATAAACTGAAGAAAACACATGTTAGAAAATGTCAGGGCCACCACCCTTACTTATCATAAATAGTATAAAACTTAAATAAGCACTTTTGGGCACATAATTGAATTATATATGTATAAATTACTTTGTTCTATTTACATTCTTTAAAATGGCACCCAAGTTTAGTGTCACAAAACATTGATATTGTGCATTTATGTACAAATAATTCCAAAAACTTTGCTCTTAAATATTAAAAAGGAAATTTTAATATTTAAATATTGGTTTATATGTGTCCAAATTAAGTATTATATATAATATAATCACAATTCTAACATAAAAATTTGGAATATACAACTGTTAATGGTTGTGTAATATTATATTCTGCAATAGGAATAGTACACTAAGTGATTGATTAAAAATTTATGTTAACTAATGGACACTTTCATATGTCTAAAAAGTGTTTTATTAACATTTGTTGCTTTTGCCAATAAAAGTACTGCAATTGGGACAATAATGCTCAGCATCCTTAAATGTATCAAAGCAGTAAGGTACAAGTCCAAGACAGCACAGTGAGCACACCCTGAAACATTATAAAGTTTTATTAATCTACCTTCAAAATAAAAGATACAATGAAATCAATAATGTACATTTACCTATAATACTTACATTGTTATTATACAAATAGACCCAGCCACAAAATGAGTATGCCAAGCTGTAGTGTATGTAACTCTTGTTGTAACAACTTTTCCACAACTAAAACAAGTGACAGTAGTAGGTTCAGTTCCAACTGCAGGAGGCATTATTACTCCTACAGGTACTGATATACCGGGCGGAGGAGGGGGGACATTTCCTACTTGAGGCTGAGCTGTAGTGACAACTGTTGGGTGTGGGTAAACACCAGGCGCAGTAAATTGTTTTGGTTGTGGAAATGACCCTTCAGGTCCAAGGTTTGGTTGTCCAGAAGGTAGTACGAATCCATATTGGGGATTGCCTACAACAGCGGAATAAGGCGGAGGAAGATCATTCGGATTTCCAAGTGGAATATTTGAAGTCGTCTGAGGATAATTTGTAGCCATATTAAAATATATTTCTCAGTGGTACTAGCAATAATAATTTAACTATATACGAAATCCAGTTGAAATAAATTATAAAAAACACTGACAATATTTCAATGAAATGAAATACAATACAAATATGTATAGTATATACGACTAATGACGTAGTTCAAGTTGAGCACCACAGAACACAAATACTCCTAACGGAGTTAGTTGTTGAGCACAGACTAAGGAGACAGGAGACTTCAGACTACAAGTTCAAGTTGACACTCACAAACTAAAATAGAAATGCTACGCATTTGACACATAGCGTTATTTATTCCAGATTAAACAATAAACAGCTCCGGCTGCTGACACCATGGATGACAAATAAAATCTGGCAGTTGGTACAACTAGTGACTCTGACTACCGACTATCGTTTCGTTACAGACATAGAGATTATTGACAACTATAACATAGACATACTATCTACTCAATATGCTATGGATTTCGTGGCGTCTCGATTTAACCAGCGCGTTTAATTTCTCACTTCGACAAAATTAGTCGACGGTCGCGATCATAAAGTTAACAATCAAACTCGCACTCACAAAATATGTTTTACAAACTTTCCGCTAGGTGGCGCTGATCCAACTCCATACAAATTTGCGTTTACTTTAACGCGATCGAGTAGTCAAAAAAACTCACACTAAGCCCACTGGACTTAATGGACTTATCACATAAATCTAAAATGAATAATCATTTTTTTTCAACATTTCGTTTTGTTCTCAATGAATGCTCATCGCATACACTGTTTTCCAAATACAGATCATAATGCCGTACTTTGGCGCACAATACTGAATTGTGCTAATGCTTAATTGGAACGTGAATTAGTTTTCAAGTGCACCAGCAAAGGGCACTAGGTTCAGTGTTGAAAGAAAAACTATAACTAACTAATATGTATATAATATATAAAAGGCAGTGGTAGCCCAGTGGTAACCCTCTCGCTTGGGAAACCGAGTGAAGCGGGTTCAAATCCCGGGTCTCGCACCTCTGATATTTTCATGTGCGAATCATTTCTAACATGATTACCACTTGCCTTACGGTGAAGGAAAACATCGTGAGGAAACCTGCATGTCTGAGAGAACTTAGCAAGTTTTCGAAAGACATGTGAAGTCCGCCAACCCGCACTTGGCCAGCGTGGTGGACTATGGTCTGATCCCCCTCGTATTGAAGGGAGGCCCGTGCCCAGCAGTGGGACGTTAAAAAGGGCTGAATACAATATAATATATACAATAATACATATCGTTGATACTGTAAATTATATAATGCAAACTTTCATTCTTTCTGCTTCCTAATACAAATTTTCATCCCCATTTCCACCTCCTTAACGGATGATTTCTCAGATAAAAACTATCCTATGTCCTCCCCAGGGTCTCAAATGATCTTCTCACCAAATTTCATCTAAATCGGTTCAGTAGATCCTGAGATTACTCCCTACAACGTCACAAACTCACAAACTTTAACTCTTTATAATATTAGTATAGATATATAATATATTACAAATAAAATATAAACAAATATTACTAACGATAATGTAAATAAAATTATGTTCAATACCACCTTGATGAAAAAACACTTCTCATATTTTCTGCTAAAGAGTTAGTATCCTTGCGCGCATCAGTTATCACATCAAAACAGTACTTTTCAGTTTTCAAAATGCTCGATTGAGCGGAGCGTTGCGACTTGCGGTAGTTGGAGCATCCAAAGTAAGCATTATGCCGCATAATGCGCTTTAGTGCTCTAAATGGAAAACAGATATATTTGGCAGTTATTTAGTCTGTGCCACCCTGGTGGTGCTTTCAGCTTTGGTTTGTTATTTTTTAACTGTTCTCAAAGAGTATAGATATATACTGAGATATATACTGACTGTTCTGCTTCTGTGATCTGTCACTACTCACTTGTCAATTGTCATTAACAAAAATATATCTGCTTTTTTTGATTTAGTATTTTCAAATTTCAATTTGAATACCTCTAATGTAAACAAATTTGAGTGTAGAATATCTTTTTACTGATCAATTTCCTTCGTGTCTTCTTCATTCTACGGCTACGCAACATTGGCGAAGTAAACTGCGAAACTGGCTTGCTTAAAAGCTTTAAGCTACAAAACAAAGAATAATAATAACTATTTGAAAGTACTAGTTACAATTTACAACAAAATAATTGTATAGAGTTCTCATTTAACAATTTAAAATGAACAGTAAAAGGGACGAGTTAAAACTTTATTGGAATAAAATTAATTACGCTTTCCCAATTTTAAATGATACCTTATTTACTGATTGCACTGAGTGCGAATATGAGGAAATTCAACAAATGATTACAGGACTAGGAATTCAAGTAAAAATACGTGATCTTATTTTAGTTCACATTGAAAAATATTTACGACAACAAGTGTCCCCAGCGTTTTGGGGAAAATTCATTAAAGTAGAAGAAGAAGTAAAAGGATTTCAATTATTTAAATCTGCAGTCAACGATCTTTATGAATTCGTGTCAAATTTTTCACTTATTTTATCAAACCTTACTAAGTTGAATAGTGTTTGTTGTGATAACAAACCTATATTTGGAGAGCGAGATGTTGTATTAGGCTTTAAACAATTACTACGAGCTACACTTCTTTCACAACTACCACTCGATTTTCATGTAGTAATTAATCACTTTTATAAAGTCTCATTTAATGTCTTTGACAATGAGTATGAAAATTCTGAAATGGGTGAAGATGTTATGTGCTCTGGTTGCTGGAATGAATATTCTGATTGCAATTGTGCATACATTGTTAAAGTCTTTCATGAAACAAATCGGAAGCTGATGGAACTTCAGCTGCTTGAAAGGCTGACAGGACAGGTTTTAACTAATTTCATACAAATGAGAATTGAAAGTCACATACAGAAACTTTGTACTGGAACTTTTGATGTTTCTCACATAAGTTTTCTTGAAAATTGGCTAGATACAACAGTTATGTCATGGTTAATAAGAATTTACTGTGCTGGTTCATCAAAACCACCACCAGATGACACAAATATTTTGAGTGCAATTTCAAAATTTAAACAAAAAGTAAGCTACTATTTGTATCACAGTTATACAAAATTAAGGATTGATCAATTGTTTAACATTATAATTGAATATCCAGACTCACAGCCGGCTGTTGATGATATTAAATTGTGTTTGGATAAAACTGACTTACGTTCCACTTTATGTAAAAAATTACAAAATGCTTTAGAAACAAGATTGTTACATCCTGGTGTAAATACTCCAGACATTCTTACTGCATATATTTCAACAATTAGAGCTCTACGACACTTGGATCCTTCTGGTGTCATTTTAGAGACTGTTACAAAGCCAGTTCGTACTTACCTAAGAAATAGAGAGGACACTGTTCGCAGTGTAGTTAGTAGTTTAACAGAAGATGGTGCTGGAAGTGAATTAGCAGAAGAGTTGGCAAAATTTGCTGCAGAAACTGATGATGATAATGAAAAAGAAGAAGCTTGGGATGAATGGGTTCCTGATCCAGTAGATGCAGATCCTAAAATAAATGCAAATGATAGAAAGGCAAATGATATTATATCTATGCTTGTTAATGTATATGGAAGTAAAGAATTATTTGTTAATGAATACAGAACCCTGTTAGCTGATAGATTGTTAGCTCAAAGTGTTATTAATACGGAAAAAGAGATAAGATATTTAGAGTTACTTAAGCTTAGATTTGGAGAATCTCAATTACATTTTTGTGAAGTGATGTTAAAAGACGTTTCTGATTCTAAAAGAATTAATGCTTTGATACAGCAAGATAAAAATTTTGAAGCATTAAGTGATAAATTCTCATCTAATGCAATGATTTTGTCTGCTCAGTTTTGGCCTCCATTTAAAGATGAAAGTTTAGAATTACCAGAGGAAATCAAACAACACTTTGATGCATATACAAAATCATATGAAGCATTAAAAGGGAATAGAACTCTTAATTGGAAACCACATTTAGGTAATGTTAATATTGAAATAGAAATAGGCGACAAAAAGTTAGACTTGACAGTGTCACCGTTCAATGCCACTTTAATAATGCATTTTCAAAATAAAACTGAATGGTCACTTGAGGAACTGCATCAAACTATGAAAGTTCCTATTACAATTTTAAGAAGAAAAATCACATATTGGCAGTCAATGGGAATTATATCAGAAAAAAGTGCTGATTATTATGTATTGATAGATGGATCGGAAGCAAACAAATCTCATGGTGCAGCAAATCAAGTCCAAGAAATGATATGTGAGGATGAAGAGACAGAGAGTGTAATGGCATCTGCACATGACCAAAGAGAAGGAGAATTGCAGGTTTTCTGGTCGTATATTGTGGGAATGCTGACAAATTTAGACTCTTTACCCTTAGAGCGGATTCATCAGATGCTGAAAATGTTTGCATCACAAGCTCCTGGCACTGAGTGCAGTCTTCAAGAGTTAAGACAATTTTTGGATACAAAGGTCCGAACTCATCAGCTTGTTTTACAAGCAGGCATGTATAAATTACCTAAAACATAATAAAGTATTAAAATATATTTTTTTAGTTTTTTTTGGACTACCATTCGAACCTATGAAGAAAATGAAGGTATTATAAAGAAATCTTGTAAGCTATAATTGTGAGAAAAATGCTTGTAAGAAATAAAAAAAGTAAGCTTTTGAAAAAAAAAATTAATTTTCTTTATAAATTTGAAAATTCATAGTTATTTCCATGCACGTGTCGTGTCTCATTGTTGGTGTCATACAATAAAATGAAGCTAATATTATGATTTTTAAAATGACATATTGTCCATTCTCCTTGATTTTTGATTTTATGAGCGCATTTCGTTTACCTTCACTTAAAGTAATTTTGTTTTTAGAAGTATAGGTACTTCTCGAGAGACCTACCTACTAAATTTGAGCAATGTAACTCGTAAGTTTAGAATAAAACGGCTGCGACATGCAAACAGACTGACGTTGGATGGAGAGTTTACGTTTTAGTCATTTGGGTACAGAAGCCTAAAAAAATTGATTTGATGACCAATTTTTGGTTAGGACTTCCCTAATTAAAAAACTCCAGTAGGATCTCATCAAAACCGACAAAAGCCACATCGAAACCAATAAATATTTATGTCGCTTTTATTGGCTTCTATGTGGCTTTTGCCGCTTTTGATGAGATCCTATTTTATTTTTTCATTACGGTTAGGATTAGGGAGCAACCCTTTGGTTGTGTGGTCTGCTGCGACAGATCTTCCGTCGGGACGTCGTGCTTGAGTGCGTAAAGCGATCGTTGGTGGAGGTGCCGTTAGGTTTTAGTGGGTAGTATTCTTTTCTAGTCAGTGAATCCCACATAACCAATTATGTATGCATGTATGTATGAATGTGGTATGCGTAATTGCATTTCCCAACGTAAACTAAGGACTTAAAATTATTGTGTAGTGTTGAAATAAATTTGTTCAAGATTGTTGATTCGGCTCGACTTTAATAAGAAGTAATAGGATACGATTACAAAAAAAAACGAATATCCGTAAAGTTTAACAAACTTTATTTTTTTGAAGTATAATATATATAAAATTTGGTTATATTAATGTCTGTGGGGTTAACGTCTGGGAAAATTATTGTTAACATATAATATTATGTGACAATAAAAAAGCCTTAATTTATTGTGTACAAAGAAAACAAAATAATATCAATACAATACAGCCAATGTGTAAAGAATGAATTAAATTTAATACTTAATAATTTAATACATAATCTTGTCAGTCTTAAAGTCTATAAAATACTGTTACATCGGAAATACTATAAAGATTACTTTCTGTTAACAAAATTTAGACATACTGTTAAATAATACGAAGCAATAATTTCATGGAATGCATAAAAATATTACGAACGAAACATACATAAAATTAAATGCGAGCAGATCATGACACTAATAACCTCAATTGAAAGAAGTGCAGAAGTTAAGTTTTTGGAATGTAATAACCAATCATTTTAGTATAGCACCAAAGACAATTTTATGCAATAAACTGAATCAAATAAAGACATCTATACTGTGTAACTAAAATATTGAAATTTATTTGGACTCAACAAAGTAATTACAATTGATTATTAATTTATCTTAAAATGCAATCTACTCATGTAGTAGGTACATATAAAACTATAAGCAAACTGTATATAGGGATGACTTATATTATTGAAATATATATATTTTTATTATATAATAAAGAAGTGAAAAAAGCTGGTATCAGGTGCCACTAAGAAAATCTATGAAGCTTTTCTAGTTGTTGTCTTTAAAACTTTTCAATGTAATCTTCAAGCCTAGCTTTTTTCACTTTATAAAGTCTGCTTAGATATGTAGCAATTACCAGTATACTAAAGTTATTTATCCCCATAAAAAGAACCCCTTACATAGTATTTAAAAAATATATAAGCATCCCAATGGCGTATTAGAGTATAACAATAGATGTAAAATATTCAACAGCTAGCTGAGAACATCAGAATAAAGCCGATATTTTTATGTTAGAGCCATATTTAAACAGACCATTTTCCATCACAGTATATAAATAAATAGCCTACAACAGATAAAGCTCTACAATTAGTTTACACATTATGTACAAATCAGTGCAATGGTATTTTTTTTCTAAGAACATCAATCACAATATTTATTATTATTATGTCACTTGAAGTAAGATACGAGTAATATGCATGTTTCCTTTAATATTCCGTATTTTTGGTGCATTTAGACTTAGTCTTGGGAACGTTTTATAATTGATTTCATATTTGCGTTCTTGATTCGATTAGGTAAAGCTTATGCCTATACTAGATTGAATTGTCCTAAAATGTGACCATGACCGTATATCACACAGTACAGATGTATGCTAAAACATGTAGTCTGATATATTCTTTTATATTATAATATTAATTTCATTACTACCATTTTTCTGTTTGGGAGATCCGCGCGATATTCTCTTTTTTTTTTATATATAAACATCACAATATTGTGAATGATGATCTGAACAATAAATATTTGGTTTTACTATCAGGTAAAACATTTTCACACGAGAGGAAACGAAAATTTAATTACTATTTATATTAAACTTTAAATGCCATATAAATCTATGCTTAAATAGCTTATGTCTTAAAAAATAAATTATTAAGTACATAAAATTTCAATAAGTCCATTTATATAGTGCTAACAATCTCATCGTGGACGACATTTGTTACACTCACTATAACATGTTAATCAAATCCTTTATTTCAAAGTTAAGTAAATAATTAAATAACATAATATCTAAAAGTTATATCTATATCTATTTAAATGTACGATGTTCTTATTTTGATTTTTTGTTAGAATTATTCATTTCTCTTAGGTTAAATAGAAGTTAATAAAGTGATAATTACGTGCAACGTAATTAGTAAAATGTAAATATAACTTTATTTTAAAAATAATTTAAAATAAATCTATTAAAAATAACAATTAAAACATTTGGAATTTGTTTCATGTTAAAAAATATATCTTTAACTTCTATTAATGCCTTAAATTAGCCTTTAGTATGTTATAAAAAAAGTTATTTTAATTATGATTCGAATCTGAATATATCCAAAATGTATTTGTTTAGCCCTCAGTATTCCTTTATGGTTGTAAAACTAACACTATCTACATAATATGTCGGTTTATCCCATCCATTGATCTTATTGACTACATCGTATATGTACAGTATAGAGATATAGATATCGGCACAAATTGTGGAGTTCACACTTTATTGGTCTATTTGGCAGATTATTGAGGAAGCCATATTACTATGAAACGCTTTTTAAATACGGTTTTATTAGCTTCACTTCTATCAATCTTTTAAATTTATTAGCTTCGCTTCATCTATCAATTTATATAACTGTCAATTTAATTAAATTTTGGAAGCAATCTACTTCTAATTATCATATTGATTGGAAACTTTATATGTATTTAAAAACTGAATGAATTCGACGAATAATTATTTAATAGCATCGAGCTAATCTAACGGGGTCAGGAGAGGGATGACTACTAATGAACCTTTCGAAATAGACCCATTTGATTCGTTTTGACAAGCTCTATATATTACAGTTGTTTAAAACCTTTTCCAAACAGTTGTTCCAAACTATCAATTAGTGCCGACAGTTACAGTAGATATTGTAGCCATATGATGTTCATCGGTTGTGTGTTTGCGGCGGGCGCTTGAAGGGCCCGTGACGCTTGGTGGGGCGCGGCGACACGGAGTGCGGCTCGCAGCCACTCCACGCCGCGCCGTGGTCGATCAGCGCGTTGGCGAGCCGACCGCTGCTCTGATCTGTTTGATATATTATTATCTTTTTAGTAGTATAAATATGACTGTTTAGCTTATTAAACTAAAAGAAAGATTTACTTATTTAACTAATTTTTTTTCAATGTGAGATGTGACGTAGGTGATACCCCCCCCCCCATGTCGTAGTGGGGGGGCTCAGTAGTGCCCGGCAACCCAACCGGGCGCGAAGCCAAGAAACGCACAGGGAGGTGGCCCACTTCGGTGGGCGTTGGGAGGTGGCCCTCTTCGGAGGGCGGTGTACCATGCGGGTTGCTCCTGGTACTTCTCTGATAGCAGAGTGGACCTTGGAGCAACCCCGTGGTTGTTGTGGTCTGCTTTGGCAGACCTGCCGTCGGGGCGTCGTAGTTGAATGCGTAAGCGATCCTGCGACGCCCCATTAAGACGGTGGAAGGCTTTGTTGGGTTTTAGTGGGTAGTACTGGCTTTGCCGGTGAGTCCCACACCTCGTGCGTAAATGCATTTCCCAACGTTAAAAAAAAAAGGTGATACCCTCCCGGCTCCCGACTGTCATACTTGGTATGGTATGGTATGGTATGTTCGGGCTGTTTTCCGCAACTCGACGACTATGCGCCTATTTTGCGTGTGTGGGAATTTAACTTCTTGTCACTCTTGCCACCCCAGTTCCTCCAGGAACTTCAGCAACCTCTTCGTCTTGCCGAAAATTTCCGGGAGTGACCCAGGAGTGCCAAGATGTTGAGCCCGGTAGACTGACTGTCATACTTACTTTCATATGACAGTCGGGGAACTTTAAAAATTGAATTTTGTTGTTTTGTTATTTAGCGTTAAAACTCCGAAACCGTTCGCTATAAAAATTGGTACTGTTTAATTTAATATATGGTTATAAAAAGTATATGTTAATTTAGTATCGAGTTTACACTGACTGGCAATAGCTTTTTAATTTGTTGTAATGACACTTCAGTTAGAGAAAAGAAATAAAATGAGTTTGACAACATTCAACATACATTGTGGTATTTTATTTTAGTTAAAAGTAAATAAGTTAATAGTACGTGCAAAATACAGGTAACACATTACATAAAAGAATAGTTACTCATTGAATTAATTCATTGGCCAGTTGTTCGATTTTCCTTATTATAAATTCATTTTACAGTTCATTTTGTAGGCAACATCTAGGACTGCTATGTGTGCTACTATTTACGCTACTACCAACCAGTATGACTCGCCTCACCTGCGCCGTGGGGCACGTGGTGGGGCGCGTGGGGCACGGGGTCGCGCACGCGCGTGACGAAGGTCTCGAAGGTGGCGGGCAGCGTGTGGTGCGCCACGAGCGCGTCAAGGTCGCGCGCGCGCTCGCTGCAGGCGTGCTGGTACAGCGGCATGGTGGCGCGCACGGCCCGCCCGCCCGCGAAGGCCGCGCCGCGCACCAGCGCCGCGCCGCAGCTCACGCGCACCAGGCACTCCTCCCACAGCGGACCGAACACCGCCACCTTCATAGTTATACTCTCTAGTTTAATTGTGAACTACGTTGTATCTAAAGCAGTTAAATCGTTAGGAATAACAAACATACGAACACCATAACTTTCTCATATATAAAAAATTGTAATCCAATTTTTTTAATTGCATCAAATGATTAACGCAGTAATTTTTGATTTCTTAGTAATTTTTGAATTCCCAATTAACTCCTTTAACTTAATGATAATTATCAATTCATCTATTGACGCTACCTGTCCGTCATCGGATCACTTTCTAAAATCTAAATTCATTTTAGGCTATAATACTTTAGGTATGTATAAGCAAACACAAATTAAGTAGTTCTATAAAGATTCCATTTTTTTATTTGATACGGATAAGCGGCTAATTCATAAAATATTAAAATAATTCTAAAATTTAAAACTAATAAATTTTCCAAGATGTGTGTGTGTATACATACGTCTGGTTTGCGCGAGACGGTGCAGCGCAGCAGGCCGCCGGGCAGCGGGTACAGCACAATGAGCACGTCGCAGAACTGCGTGGGCAGCGTGTCGCGCTTGTACGGCCGCCAGTGCTCGCTCCACACCACGTGCACCTCGTCGTTGCCGAGGTGACGTGTCTACGGAATATGATATGAGTCATATTGTCATCGTAACATTTATTGTTTTATTTCACTTTACATATAATTTACAGGCTGAATATACTTGCAAGAAAGTCCTTTTTTCTAAGAAATATTTTAATGTTGTGAAAGTCTAAATAAAATAGGGACTTGTAAATTATTTCGATTACGGTGAAAATGAAAAGTAATAGATCATTTTAGTAAATTTTATTGAAATATACAAAAAACAGTTCTATAATAAATAATAAGTATACATAGCATGAATTTTTTTAAGTGAATGTAGATGACGAAATTCGAAAATATAGGGGATGTTATGTTAAGAATGAGTGACGAAGCTTATTTCGATTGCAACTCAAATTATAAATATTACATTTTAGAAAATATAATTCTTTTAGCTAGATATAGGATGACTTATAAAAAAACGAAAATACATCTAAGACCTTGTTTTAATTATATTATTTATATATATATATATATATATATATATTATATATATATATATATATATACATATACATATGTATTAACAGCAGTTGTGTAACAATAACAACATGGCCTACCTTGTTGAGTATAGCGTCTGGCGTGTCGGCGGGCATGCGCGTGGCCACGTGGAACAGCGCCTCGAGCGTGAGCGTGGCAATATAGGGCGCGCTGACGCCGCCGCCGCCGCCGCCGCGTAACCCACCCGCAAACCCCACGTGCGACTCCAGCTCCACCTGGTGGATGGGGATCATCTCATAACAATATAAGTATAACCTAAGAAGCTAATGTGTAACCGTCATAGTGTATGTATGAGCTAGCTAAAACTGGAAAACAAAATATTATAAAGCAAAGTGTGCTTAAACACAAGTGCATTGTATGTGTGAAGGACCGACGGTTTTGCGTGCAAAGCGCGGGGGGTACTTTGCCAACTTCCTAAAACTAGGCCGTTGTACTTGACTGAGGAATTCTCAACAAAAAAACCCAACAACTGTATTTGACCCAAGTTAGGACTCGAACCGAGGACCTTTGGATATGAAGCCGTACAAGCTAACATACACTCGACCAATGAAAATACCCTCTATAATTACATTATAATTGTCGAGTAGTGATTATATGTGAATAACAAACGAACCTATTTATGATATGAACGTACTTCTAGTATAGTTCAGTTGCCGTAAAAACTTATTTGCTAAATATTGAAATTTACCCTCACAAATAACCTTTATCTTATTCATCGCATTCTTTTCCGACGTTTGGGTGGATTTATTTTAATTTTTCGTTCCCGACGTTTCGAATGTTTTACAACAATCAAGGTTACGGGAATCAATTTTTAATACTAAAAACATCTCATACACTAACCTCCCACGCGAGGGCAGCCAAAAACGCTTCATAAGCAGGACTGCCGCAGCGATTTGACAAGATCTCATTGCGCGTCTCCTGTCCCTTGCCCACGTAAATTACTGCTACTTTATGTGTTTCTCGACACCTGCCATGGGAAAAAATTATATGATGAAAAAAAAAATGATAAAAAATATACAAACATACTCGTACATACTAGGGACGTTCGTCCCTAGGTACATTTTTCTATTGAGCGGAATCCTAATTCTTTTACTGAAATAAAAGTAGCCTAAGTTACTCCTTACTACATCAACTATCTGCCAGTGAAAGTGCCGTATAAATCGGCCCAACCATTTCGGAGATTAGCCGGAACAAACAGACAGACAGACAAAAAAATTAAAAATTGTGTTTTTTTTATAAATACCGTATATAATTCCATATATATTTAGTAAAAAGCTGTTATTTTGACATTACAAACAGACACTCCAATTTTATTTATCTGTATAGCTGTATACATTAGTGTAGTGTGGTCGGGAGCGTACCTCTGCTGGTCGAGGTTGCGCAGCTCGCGCAGCAGGCGGTCGGAGCGGCGCAGCAGCTGCGCGTGCGGCCGCCGCGCCGCGCTCAGCGAGCCCAGCTGCGCCACCAGCCCGCGGCTGTGCGCCGCCGCGCCCCCCGCGCCGCCCGCGCCCGCCGCCTCCGCGCCGCCCTCCTCGCACTCCTCGTCGCTACGCACAGTACATACACATTGGGTATTTGACGTAAAACTATTTAATATAGGTGATGACGATGATCTTTGAAAGGAAATTAGATGAATTACAAAGTTTCCAAAGTAAGAAATATTTTTTACTAAGAAAAATGTCAGAAAAAGGATACTGAATACTCATTTTATGTACGACTTATTAAATTAACCATCTAAATGTTGCTTTGAAAAATAATTTGTAACATTTATTTCTATACGACTACCGTAAAATAAATTGTTTATCATATGGTTTTACATATCCTATACCTATTAAGTAACGAAAAGCCTTAGATTTATTCGAAATTTCATATAAAGATTTATTTTGTCCTCACTGATTGACTGAATAATGAATAAAATATAAAACCAAATTAAATTAAGGTCACCTTAAAACTAAATGTCACAAAATGTATACAACTAGTGACATCTATGTCACTACCAAAGAAAAAAAACTTGATAGAAAAACAATTTCCACGCAAACGGAGCCAGTGGCAATAAAGTATCAAAACAAAAGCGAGAGCAACCTGTCCCGGTTGGCCAGGTACTGCCGCTCGGCGTTGCCGTGCGCCACCAGCGCGCACACCAGCTCGTCCTCCGCGCCCGGCGCCAGCGGCGACGCGCCCGCCTCGTCCAGCCGCCGCCCGCACGCCACCTCCGGCGACGTGTGCCCGATGTACGCCAGGATCTGTCACGTTTTTTTGTATATATACTTTACTAGCGACTCACCCGGGTTCGTCCCTAGGTACTGTTGTATGTCTTTTTTACAACGCGGTTAAAACCTAGTAAGCATTTATTTACCCCACATTATACTAACCTAGTCAGCAATTGCATTGTTCTCTATAACATTAATTTTAAGCATTAACCTTAATCCACATAATTTTTTTTTATATTAATTAATCTAATCAGCAATTGAATTGTCTCTATATATTCATTTCATTTTTAAATATAATTAGCTAGACTCAGAGCTCCGGGTAGATCGGACATCGATTCCGAGACGCGTTAAGGACTAGAGTTCGGAAGTCAAAATGCTGGACAATTGTGTGAGAAGAGTTCTATCTTAAAAAATGTTTAGGTTTATATCGTAGTTTCAATTTTTAAAACACAAACAGGGTACGCCTCCTAACAGTACGTTCTAACGGTTAGTATGGATATCCCATGGAAACCGTATAATTTTTCGGGATAAAGTAACGTATGCGCTATTCCAGATTATAATCTATCTCTATGTCCATTCAGATCCATTCAGCTGTTTTGGCGTAATTGAGTAACCAACACCCATGCATTCAAACTTTCGTATTAATAATATTTATGGCATTGCACTTATAAAAATAATGCAGACATTGCAGATTAAATGACATAGGCAAAGGTTGACTTATCCCTAAAAGAGATTTCTTCCAATGGAGGTGAGAAATTGTCAGTGTTAATACCAATAATGTTATAAACGTGAATATTCGTCAGAATCTGTACATATTTTGTATGCGACAGTTTTTAAGTCGAATTAGGAATCAAGTTATACATATTATGTACATCTTGAATCAAATAGATTTTTTTGACGTTCTTACAACACAATTTCGAATTGACAAAATCAAATTTTTTTGAGGACACTTTTGAGACATTGGCTGTGTATCTTAAGTTTTTGTATATCAATGGCTAATGTATAAATTGAATTTTTCATCTAATCTATACATATAATAAAATTGTAACTAAGCCGAATCTGTACATTAGATATTTTTTGGAAAATCTTATTGAAATAAACATTATTATCGACACAGAGGCCGAATCTAACAAAGTCGTAGTCGAATAAATAGTTTTTAGAATTTTTGTCTGTCTGCCTGTTAACGCAACACAGAAAAACCACTGGTGGGAATGTGATGAAATTTGGTATGGTGATAGCTGGTTATCCGGGTCAACATATAGGATATTTTTACCGTGAGAAAGTATCTCGTTTTTGAGAAAAAATACAAAAACTGCAATGTAAGAGTATACTAATATGTAAAACCTAAGAATTTAGGTTTTGGTCATCTGAACGTGGGCGGAGCCGCGGCAATGCTAGTTATAAATAATTTTTATGAACTCACGTGATCTAATTGATGTTTATCCGGTGGTGAATTTTTGTAATCTGGCAACAAATCAGGTGGCAGGGGTGGTGGCAGTGAAGATAATGTATTGTCCCTTGGACAATCTATCCTGTAAAATAAAGGAAACGTATATAAAGCAACTTTTTAATGTAATATTGTTTACGTAGTTAAAATAATATTCTATTTGCAAAAATATACAAACTTGTGATTTTTTTACTTTGAGATGAATAATCGTTAAATTTTCCTGAAGTGTCATTACAGGAATATTATTAATATATTTATACTATTTATATCAAAATCTATGTCTAGCAGTAAAGTTTTAGAGATAAAATTAATGGTATTTATATTGGTTACACAATATACGTGTGTATATATATTGTCATTAATCAGAACAACAGCGAATTTGTAAATTAAGTGGTTTTATTACATCTTCTTCATTCACTCTAAATGGATATATTTGATTGTTTGTGTGTGTGTGTATGTTTGTTGTTCGTTCACACTTAAACAGCTAGATAAATTTAGATGAGATTTAGATACAGATATACTATAATTATCAAGAGTAACACATATGTATCTATTAGATACGCACCGGATCCATAAGGACCAGAGGAAAGCGAGGGTAACCTGCTCGTAGTTTATATAAACTAATAGCGACTTCGACCCGAGCTCGATTCCCCACATAAATTTTCATCCCCATTTTCACCCCCTTAAGGGATGATTTCTGGGAAAAAAGTATCCTATGTTCTTCCCAGGGTCTCAAACAATCTTCTTACCAAATTTCATCTAAATTGGTTTAGTAGATCCAGAGATTACCCCCTACAACCTCACAAACTTTACCTCTTTATAATATTAGTATAGATATTGGCATAAGATAATAGCAATAATAATAAATTACAATTAACAACTCACGTAGGAGGCAACGGCAGTGGTTCAAGCGGCTCCGACGAGTTGACGGACGGGTCGTAGTACAGCGCGGAGGCGTCCCAGCACGCCTTGCCGCAGATGTCGCGTAGCAGCACTCGCACTTGACGGTCCGATGTCATTAAACCTTTTGGCAATTTCAATTTCTTTTTGTCAAATCAATCGATTACTAATTTATATCATCTTGGATATAAAGCTAATATAATATTTTAGTCGTAATATTAAGTTTAAGATTTCGAAATAACTATCCAGTTTTTTTTTCTTTTTTATATGTTCTTTGCACGATATCAAAGTCAAAGGTCCTATTTTCTTTTTATCTCTCTGGACTCATTTTCAAAATGGCTGAACCGATTTTCAAGGCACAAAAACTACTAATTTTTATTTCGAAACGATATAGATAATGTAAATGCCATAATTATATTTAAATCTAAGCAAATTGCCTAGGGACAAGTAATAATAAAAGTTGTAGATTAAACTTTATTTAGGATAAACTGAGAAATGGAATTTTAATAAGATTACTATAGTAATTTTAATAAATAGAACTATGTATTACATTACGAAATTTTGTACAATACTTTCTTTTCTTATATTTACGTGAATAATTGACATTATAAATAAAATTATTTTCATTTAAAATTCGACGGACGTTTGGATTGTTATACGGTAATCATGTATAAAATATAAAAAGCTATCATAACCAATCCCGTACATACCCGGCGTAGTCCCGCCACACGGCGGCTCAATAGCCGGCAACTCCACGAAGCTGGCGAGCGTGGCGTCGCTGAGGCGCAGCAGCTGCACGTGCGGCGCGGCCAGCACGGCGGCGCCCAGCTCCGCGCCCAGGGCCGGGCTGTCGTGCTGCTCGCACACGCTCGACGATATCTGGCACCCGCTCCACAGCGGCCAGTGGCCCAGGTATAGCACCAGTTGGGAACAGATCTATGATAACAGGAAATTGAAGGTAATATAGTTCTATCACAGTAGGTATACTAAACCTTATAATCGTTTAATTAAAACGTCTAGTCAGGGCGAGTAGTGCGAGCACCTGATTGTCATACTTACTTTTATATAACATTCGGAAAGTGACTATATGTGCTACTAGATAGCACTACAGTGCTTTAACAACCACGCATAAACAACCCTTGTCAAATGACAGCATTTCCAGATTTTTATATTGTGACTCTAGTTTGATTAGAGTGAGACTTTGATTTGAGAGAGTTCACAATGTTGTGTGGATTAGTTGCGATTGTAAAGTACAACATTTTTATAATTTAGTTTACAGAGTGAAAATAAGGTTTTAATATATTATTGCTTGTGTAAATGTCGTTTAACAAAATAAATATTAAAGTAACATTATTATGTTTAGTTATTCCTATGGGATTGGCATGATCACTTTGTGACTAAACCACTTTAAAATAAAAAAAAATTACATTAATGTATAAAATATAAATATATAAAGTTCTTTGTATTTTACTTTACGAAATATTGCCTAATAGAGATTGCATTTTGCATAAGCACCTTAAAGTAGATCTAATAAAGTTGTTGGGTTCAAATAGAGATATTATGAAAAACTTTCTTTACACCTTATTTTCAATTATTATTGATTACTATATTGATTCAATGTAAATCAATGTCTTTGATATATAATTTTATCTATTCTTACCGTTTGAGCCCAAAGTTTGACGTCAATGGTAGAGGCTGGAGTTGACTTCGGCGCCAAATTGTCCAATTGAATATTAGGGTCGAAGTCCTCATCAACGGGCAACGAGAGACCTTCGATATCAGATCCATTTGTTCCATTCATAACTGCATACAACACCTGCACATTATTCAATTGATATTAGATATATTTATTAAGTTTAAAAAATACCTGCCAGCGTTGTTTTTTCTAGACACCTTATATTATGTACATAAGTTAAAGCTAAAAGTATATTGATGCTATTCGAACTGAACGAGGCCTTTCATAATCTCTGTTCTAGACAGCTCATTAGTCGTATTACTTTGCTGATCTTAGTACACAATAATGTAAACTTTATAAATCTCACAAGTTTCCCTAAAAATTCTCAATAAAACCTTTACAGAAAGGTCATTTGAACATATTAAGTCAGTATAATACTTTAATCATCTGCAATGAATATTAAAAATTAGTTTTTTTTTAAATAGATTAGCTGTTAGCAGCCAATGCCTATCGTTGTGCAATCTACTTTTATTTTTTTTTTTTTTAATAATTGATATAACATATTATGAATCTGAAAGAATCAATTAAGACATATAATAATCATTATAAAATTTTTCGACTATAAAAACCTCTATTTATTGTCGTTAGTACACACATAAATATTAACTTGCTGTTTCTGATATTAGCGCGAACAAACGCACAGATAAACAGTCAAAAATTCAAAATACCATTGTTTTAGGTTTTATTGCGTTAATAAAGACCCACAATAATTGTTTTTCTCAAATATCTTCCATCTACAGACAGCGATCTGTTACACTTGTTTATTATATGTATAGAATAAATAATATAGTTTTACATTAACAAAATTATAACAAGGAAAAATTCTGAAAAAAAATATGTCAAGGTTTTTCGTATTTCTTTTTTCATACTATTTTGCGTAAGACAATATATTTAGCGATGGTATTTTTTGTCGCACATTCGAATCTCTCTAATTAGCACCATATTACGTGACAGGAGGAGCGTAGACGGGTGTTTTGACATCAATTAGAGTTTCCATTTAAAATGCCGTTGTATCCGTCGATCAGCACAGTGCATCAGCTGAGTTCAGCAAACACACTACTTTCACCCAAATTCAAAATCAACTTATCTTTCAAACATGCAAAAACTTGTAAGTGTTTTTAACAATAACTTTTAACATTAAATTTTTATGTTTATCATTGTTTAACTAGTTTCGTCTAAAACCGTCTAGTGTCATCTAAGGTGCATGGTGTTTAGCTGCAAATGTGAATTATAAAATAATCTATACATATCATCATATAAAATTCTAATTGAATCGAATTTGTATATTTAATATTCTTTGGAAAATCGTATTGAAATAGCCATTATTATTGATACAGAGGCTGAAGTCTGTCTGACTGAGGTCTGTCTGTCATAAACAGATTTTTTTTAATAATTTATGGGCCAACATATAGGATACTTTTTACTGCGGGAAAATATCTCTCTCTCTCTGAGAAATCTATACTAAGCGTTAAAAAGTAACGAGGGTGAGTCGCTAGTAAGCTACGAGTATATGGTTAGTGTAGATAGTTGTAAGAGGGAAGAAGACCGTAATAAAATTTCTAAACATATTGTTTTATATTATCTTTCTATTATATCTTTCCAGGTATTTTGCGCTTTCGCCCTAGTGGCTCTAGCCGCGGCTGCTCCTCAAGACTCCAATCAGGCGTATATCCTTAAACAGGAGTCTGATATCAACCCTCAAGGTTACCATTTTGAGTAAGTAGATAGTTGATTTTTTATTAAAATTTACATATTAATTGAATATAAAATAAACTAGTAACATATATCAAGAAAATGAGATTTAAATTTAGAAATTCTCCGTTAATCTATTAACTACTCAGAAAGAATTAACATTAAAAGAAGTTAACAATGAAAATATTGTTTTATAACAAATTCTATTATTTCAATCAGATTCGAAACAAGCGATGGCACCTCCCGTCAAGAGCAGGGAAACCTAAAGCAAATCTCTGAAGACCACCAAGCCATCGAGGTGCAAGGCAGCTACAAATACTCGGCGCCGGACGGCCTCATTTACACCGTCACCTACGTCGCAGACGAGCACGGCTTCCAGCCACAAGAGCACGTGGAACATCCCGGACAGTAAAACGGACTAGATAAATATCATTTATATGCTTTATCATCTTTGTATTAATACTTTCTAAGATTTACACGAATATGTGACATTTTAAACCAAATTGTCTTTTCGGATTTTTTTGTGGATTAATTTTGATTTTTGTTTTCTGATGGACGTTTTGAATGCTTTATTAGTCTCTTCGTGATCATGTTTGTTGTAAAGCATTCGAAACGTCCAACGGAAACCAAAAATCAAAATAAAACCGCGAAAAAACCCGTAAAAATAGTTTTATTTAAAACGTCTTTCTTCATATCGTTGTAGTTCTATTGACAAAGGTTATTTCAATACTCAGGCGCTATATAAAGTATATAAATAACAGTTTAACAATGACATGCTAACTATTTACCATTTTAGAAATTTAGCTTCTAAGTTATTCCAACGTATAGAGATACGTTTCTATTATTAGATTAACGTAAACTAAATTTTTAAAATGACCGAACTGTAAATATTATCTAGGATTCGTTTTCGTAATCCGTTACGCACTTTTTGTATGTTTGTTTATGATTTTGAATAAATTTTTTAATGTATATATAAATCTATTTATTGTTTTATTAACCAACAACACATCACCGAAATATTTACAGAGTTAATTTTAAAAGTAATCACAATTTTAGAACCAAAAGTCATTTAACCAGTGGTCCTCAACTTCTATTTTTATTGCATTTTGATAGTTATTAAAATGTAAAATAGTGAATATTTAAAAAATTAATGAAATATTCCAAAAGTAAACAATAAATTAAGCAACAAAAGAGATACTTTGTAATCTATACTAATATTATAAAGAGGTAAAGTTTGTGAGTTTGTGATGTTGTAGTGGGTAATCTCTGGATCTACTGAACCGATTTAGATGAAATATGGTAAGAAGATAGTTTGAGACCCTGGGAAAGGACATAGGAATTTTATCCCGGAAATATTACTTTAAGGGGGTGAAAATGGGGATGAAAGTTCGTATTGGGACCAGGGACGAACCCCGAGCGAAGCGAGGGTGAGTCGCTAGTGCTTTTGAAATCAATGTTTTTATAATATAATATTATAATAATTCATAAAAAAATATTTTGTACATGAAAAATGTGCTTTTCTAATAACGACTGGAGAATCAGCTGTACACTAATTAAGATACAATAATAACAGTACAGCAAGAAGTGGACTCTGTTGATATTTAAAAAATGTAACGTATTTTTAAGAACTACAACTATATTTTAATTAATTAATATAATATGTATAATAAATACAAACACCCAACACTCATCACACATATCATTAATAGCAGTCTGACTATTCAGTCTTTTAAGACCCGCATGAGTCACTAAGCTCACAAAGAAACACACTAAAACACTTCCAAGTTAAATAACATTTCCCACCTTAACTAAACATTAACAGCGATGTCTAATCCGCACGCACGCAAGCGCACACACACACACACACACACACACATACGCTCGCACACACTCACGCACCAACCAAATGAACACAAGACACACCCACCTTAAATATAACCAACAGCACCGTCTGGCCGGCGTCGCACGCGCGCAGCAGACGCGCCGGCCCGCAGCGCACCGCGAACTCAGCCAGGCACAGCAGCAGAGAGCCCGCCAGCGGCTTCACCGCCTCGCGCGCGCTGCTGTTCGATATTTGCGCGAGGCATGCGCATATCCACTTTATTATTTTTTCTGTAGGAATAAAAATATTATTATTCTCATGTATATAATTCTATAAACAAAAGTGAAATACTTAAAAAAATACTTTTATATAGCTTGAAATTTGTTAAGTAGAAAGAGATTTTCAAAACTTCCTAAGTTTGAATGAGAATCCGTTTTTTTTAAATTTACAGAAAGCAAAATTGGAAATAATCTTGATTTAATTGTTAAGCCCTTACCTGCGAGGCCGGGATACAACTCGACGATGCAGTCAGTGTAATCCGCTAATACTAAAACAGCATCACTCACTATTTTTGCTATAGTTTTGTTTTTCATCTGAAACAATATAAAAATAATTTATATTTTATATTATTATTTTTTAACACTTCTTATAAAAAATATATTCAAGTACTATACTTGCTTACTCGTATATAAAAGGCTCGAAATTCGCTCATAAGTAGACTACTACGTAGTTATAGCTTAGTAGCTACTAAGCTATAACTACAATTAGTTTTTAAGTTATTATTCGGGATTAAATTTAGAAATACAAAAAAAAATGAATACGAAGATAACAATCGGACTACTTATAAATGGGAATATTTGTATGTATGTATTAAACGGATTTGTCTGAAACAAGATTTGTTGTATACAATGCAGATGACTACGACTTAGAGTAAGTAACATATAGGCTAATGTGAGGCACTTAGGGAAATCTCCTAGCACAGCGAGGATAAGTAGTACCTTAGAAATCTATAAAACCATAAGGCCCGCCTCACACTATAGAGCCGATCACGGTTAGTTCTCGGTCTAATATCGGTCTGGTAAAGTATTTTTATACAAGATTCAAGGAGTGCATATACACTTACAGTAAGACTCCCGTTCCAGTCGAATCACGCTCCAGCAACGTTTCTTGTATAGAAATACTTTACCAGACCGATATCGGATCGAGAGCGGACTGTGATCAGCAATATAGTGTAGAGTGGCCCTAAAGGAGAAAGAGAGAGAGAGAGATAGAGCTAATAACAAATGTCAACCCACCATAAGCATCTGCAGCAAGCAGGTGACGTAGGCGGGCAAGCGCGGGCAGTGCGCGCGCGTGGCCAGCAGGTGCGCGCAGTGCGCCGCCAGCGCGCACGCGCCCGCGCAGCGCGCCGCCGCCGCGCCCTCGCGCCGGCACACGCGCACCACTATGTTCAGGACGTGCTCCTGCGTTCATTTGTATTAGGATATGTTTATACTTATTTAGTTCACTGTGTGACAGTTAAATTAATGAGTTTATCTATACTAATATTATACTCGTATACTATATTATAAAGAGGTAAAGTTTGTGACGTTGTAGGGGGTAATCTCTGGTTCTACTGAACCAATTTTGATGATATTTGGTAAAAAGATAGTTTGAGACCCTAGGAAGGACATAGGATACTTCTTATCTCGGAAATCATCCCTTAAGGGGGTGAAAATGGGGATGAAAGTTTGTATGATGAATCAAGTTAGGGACGAACTCGAGTGTAGCGAGGTTGATTCGCTAATACCCTATATAATATGTACATTGTACATATTTATATGGAGTTCTTAATTATATTTTTTATGTATGTAGGTTATGATTTCTGTGTAAATTACACATTATAAAGTATTTTTATTTGTACAAAATATGGATACAGTATTTTAAGTTCGAAAATGGATGGCCCCTCTGCAAGATAAATGTGCTAATAACTACCGGTGTTTTATTATAATATGTATAATAAATAATATAATTTTTTTAAAAATATTAACGAAATTCTGGGCATATGTACAGAATTTAGCAACATATAAACCCATATGTACTATATCCAGAATTTAGCAATATATAAACCAATAAAATAACAATAGATTTCAATCAATTATTATTATAGTTGTAAATACCTTCAGATCTGGACAAGACACAGTATTGTATTGGTGAGGATAGGGCTGCAGCATCGGAGCATTCATCATTCCATCAGGTAAAGCCAACAGAGATCCTAGAAACGTTACTGCAGCCGTGCGGGGACACTGAAACAAAGTCAAAATGTTGACGAGTTTAGTTACTTTCACGGTCGCCTTAAGTATTTTATAAGAATTTTCTTATCAGTGTAAAAGTACCTAATAAATATTCATAGCATTTGTATTGTACCTACCTAACAATACTACAAATATAACGGTCACTTTTTCAAACTGTAAAGGTTCAATGGATGTGACTGAGAATCGAAACGAAGATAATATAATCAAAAATTACTGACTTGACAATATATTAAAAAAAAACAATAGCTAACCGAAGGCCCCATATCCGAGGAGTTGAGCACAACAGTGGAAGCGTGCACGAAGTCCAGCAACAGCAGCGAGTGCCCCTCCAGCGCCAGCGACAGGTACCGCGGCGCCGCGTGCTCTACCAGCACGTCCACCACGGACCTGTCCTCGCCCGTCAGGCCTTTGTAAAAAATATACGTTTATATGAATCCATACTAATATTATAAATGTGAAAGTGTGTTTGTTTGTTTATTTATTTGTGCGTTTGTTTGTTTGTCTTTCTTTCACGTCGAAACGAAGTGACGGATTGGCGTGACTTTTGGAGTGAAGATAGTTGGAGAGCTGGAGAGTGACATAGGCTACTTTTTTGCGGGAGATCATCGCATTCCCACGAGAAAACACGTTATATTATAATACAACCTAAAAAAATATTTATGATCAGAATTACTAGAAACTTGGTATTAATACTCTTCAATACAATTTAATAAATACGTGTTTTAGCATTTTTCTAAATTCATCCTATTCCTTCACACTGAAACTACTAATTTTTTTCGCCTTAGCTATTCGTATGGAGCCAACCCCGATTTTGTTTTGCCACTCGACTTTGATTTACACAGTAGCAATAATTTACTAAAATATAAAATGACTATTACTAATATATAAAATGTCTGTAAAATACGGACGCGACAAAATTATAAAGGATCACCGAAATCTTAAAAAGAAAAGATAAAGTTAAGAGCATCATGATTTGGCGTAACAATATACACAATAATGTGTTTAGTCATAATAAATATTTTATAATGTTATTCAAGTTTTTTCTTACCATGATGCAAGGCTCGTAGATATAAATGCAAATGGGCAAGATGGGGTCGTCCATTGCAACTCGAGGGCGCGCCCGGGCCCTGTGCCTGCGCCGCCGTCGACTCGCATAACAATCTTAGCGCTACCAACTTGCCCGCCCTAAAATAACGCACTCAAACGTTAAACTTTATAATTAACATTAGGTTTCTTTTACCATAACGGAATAAACACTATTAAACATACACAACGTAAAAAATGAAGTAAAAAATTTGTTACATAATATGTAATTCAATGAAAAATAGTAATACTTTTATTATTTTAAATATTGCTTCTGATAATAATTACCTATGTGTAAAACCAAACAATACAAGATTATTTTATTATGTATAGCATTCATTTAAAATTCGAATAAAATATATATTGTATTTATATAAAGTATATATCTACTATATAATACAACAAATATATTATAATATTATATAAAATATATAATACCTATGTGAAGACGGTAGCGCCTCTGCTTCGAGACACCATCCCGCCACGAGGTTAAACGGCACATGGATTTCCGTATTGCCATTGAGAGTTTGGTTTGCACTTATCTGAAATAGAAAGGTTAACATTACTTATGTGTTTATTGTACATGCATATTTTGAGATAGAAAAACCTAACTCTTATTTATAGATTAGTCGTCGATTCATTAATTTTATAAGTGGTGGATTTTTTAAAGATAGTGAATTTTTGCAATATACTAACGTATGTATTCAGCCTTTTTTAACGTCTCACAGCTGGGCACAGCCTCCCTTCAGTACGAGGGGAATCAGGCCATATTCCACCACGCTGGCCAAGTGCGGGTTGACGGACTTCACATGTTTTTTCGAAAACTTGCTAGGTTCTCTGAGACATGCAGGTTTTCTAACGATGTTTTCCTTCACCGTCAAGACAAGTGGTAATCATGTTGGAAATGATTCGCACATGAAAATATCAGAGGTACAAGACCCGGGATTTGAACTCTCTTCACTCGGTTTCCCAAGCGAGCGCGTTACCACTGGGCTACCACTGCCTCATTATTATAATATACTAACTAATATGCTATGGAAGTAACTGCATGTACCGGGACATAAACATTTTGTATTAAATCTAGGATATGGTCTAGATTTATAAAGAGTTTATTCGTAAGACTATCCACGCGTGATTAAGTAATGATGAAAAACAAACGTTCGTCTTTATAATATAAGTAAGATTAAACTCCATTGTTTCTAACACACTCACATTTTGGAACGCTGATTTTCTTATTGTTTACTAAATTAAAGTTGAAAAAAAAAACCATTAAATAGAGAATAAAAAAAGATAAATATATGTATCTGCATAAACAGTAGCGCAACCTATATTAACAAAAGTAGATAACACAAAAAAAAACACTTCTAAATCGCAAAAAAGCTAGATATCGAAAACTCTTAACCTTGAATTTCCTTTTATTTTGTTTGGTGTACTATCGATGATTTGATGGTAGACAAATTAAAGTTTGCATATTACATAGGTATGCCAGTAATTAACAATTATTGAATGATTAACATTAAAATAATAGTAATATTGTTATTCAAATACCACTTGCCTTAACAATATTAGATTCCGTTATTATTTTCACGTTATCTAACTTTGAATTAAATATTGTATCTAATAACACTGAGTTCACCATTATCGAAATGAATTTTACCTATATTTTATTTTATATTAACTATATAACCATTTAATTATAAAATAAAAAAGTACCAGTAATAAAATGAACACTATACATGATATGTTTCATTGTTTTTATGTCGACATTTTGCTTAACAAATATATATATATATATATATATATATTTGTTAATTATGAGGGTATATATATATATATATATATATATATATATATATTGCTACCTCTCTTTTCTGGCGCCTTCTTAGGAGCCTTCTTTTTCCTGGTCCTCTTTCGCATTGGCAATCTTTGAATAGCTTTGTATTGGACAACAGGTCGCACAATTTTAACAATACCATACACGTTAACAGCAATAGGGCTTTATATTAATACTCGTAATTACCGAACACATAACAATGAGATTTGAAAACAAAACATGATCCAATCATTGAGATAAACGATGAATAACAAATATTTAATTTCAACATATGTCGAAGAGTGCTAGATATCGTGTGATAAATCAGTCACTGCCATATTTGTGATAACCATTAACAAAAGCCATATGGAGGCAAATATTTTATTACGTAGGTTTTCACGGTAACAGGCCTAATCGTATACGCAATGTTTGTTGTTGCTTTTGACAGATACATTAAAATTGTGCCTAATTTGAGTAGGTGTTAGTTAATAAAGTCAGTTAAATTTATCTTTAGTTCATTCAAACTATATAATTTTGTTGTCTAAATATTTACATCCAAATTTACTACCTACTTACTGAGATTCAAATAAAATTGCCCGTTTTTAAGCTAACACACCTATGATTAAGTACGTTTTAAATAATAAAAAATATAAACCATCTTTAATAACACATTCCTAAGTATTTTATTATTTCTTAAAATAAAAGAATGGAAGCACTAACAGCATGAAACCATCAAGTATGACCGATTGATTTCATAGAAGGCTAATTTCGTCGTGAGCATTACGATACACGTGCCTATAATAAGGTAGGTTTATCGTTTAAATTTTAATTACGATTTTTAACTAAGAAATATTTTTTAAGATTCTTATAGATTAGATTCTTATCGTAGATTTATGCAGAACTAACGTACATATGACAAGACTTTAGTGGCTAGCATATACAGTATTAAAGGTCACGAGGGTCCGAGCCAATAATATTTTGAATTTTTCTTTGAAGTAAATTTCTAGTAGCTTCTAGCAGACTATACATATATGTACGTGTGTTTGTGAACTATTTATTATATTATGTCCTACGCTGATGTCTAACATTAGCGAGACTGATATTCGGTCATAAGAGAGACTTATGAATAATGTATATTTATATTTAACTGTCTTGGCGGTTTAGTGTTTAGCATATGCGGCTGCATATCCTGGAGGTCCTAGGTTCGAGTCCCGAGTCAAGCCAAGTTTAATTACCGAGTGTTTCTGTAAGATATTCTCAGCAGTAGGGAATATAAATAGTTCCCGACTTGGGAAGTTGGCGGTATTTTCCGCCTGAGTGTTTTTATATGCATCCTCATTCTCGTGAAGGCTGTGAAACGGATTTGGATGTATATTGGCACATCCATCAAATCTACTCGTATACACTCATATTATTAAAACAGATGATGATGTTCTCCTGACCGATTCCGGCCACGACGGCCAATCTCATTGAGACTAGCCAACTGCGCAGGAGATATTATAGTGCACAAGTGTACGCGCAGACACAAGTGCACTCTCTATTCCTGTCACTCTCATACTCCGGTGGGACGACTGCTCGACACGACCGGTGAGAGTTAAGGCGCAGGACCGACGGCTTTACGTGCTCTCCGAGGCAAGGGGGTGAAACACCGCCAACTTCCCAACTCCGGGCTGTTACTGAGGCCTACTATACAGAAAGACTCAATAACTAAATTTGGCCGGACCCGGGACTAGAAACCAGGACCTCCGGATGCACGACGGATGCTCCGGACGAGGCAGTTGCCTCTGCCACAGGCAACTGCTTCAGTGGTGTAGAGTCCTTCCGTATGACGTACGGAGTCGAGATGTGGAAACGGTGCGATTGGTCCAGCAGTTTAAGGTCGCTTAACGAGCTAGTGAGAGGGCTATGCTGAGAGTTTCTTTGGATGAACCAAAGTTATCAACATAGCCAAAAAATTGAAAACCGAAGTGGCAGTGGGCTGGCTGATTATGATGATAATTGTGATTATACAATATACATACCGTAACGACCCTGGTAGCCCAGTAGCACGTTCACTTGGGAAACCGAGTGAAGCGGGTTCAAATCCCGGGTCTCGCACCTCTGATATTTTCATGTGCGAACCATTTCTAAATAGATTATCACTCGTTGTACTGTGAAGGGAAACATCGTGAGGAAACCTGCATATCTGAGAGGAACTAGCAAGTTTTCGAAAGACATGTGAAGCAGGGCTTGATAACGACACCAATTTACAGAAATAATACCGGTAAATAAGGGTTTTTACCTGCCATATTGTTATGATTTAGTAGCGTTAAATTAGTAACATAATTTTAACGTAACACGTATTATAGTGTTAACGTTATAATTTCGGGTATTCTTAATGTTATTTTAAGCGATGTTGCCGTTTTGTATTATTCTATCTACCGGCTGCCGAGTCGTTTTTCCGATTACTAAAATGTAAAATGTCAAATATCCGCGTAGATCTACAAAAGTATTATGTGTATAGGATGATTTTTGGGAGTGATGAATAAGTTTTAACTCTGATCTTAAATCATTTTGTTGATTGTATTATAACGTGTTTTCCCGTGGGAATGAGATAATCTCCTGTGGTAATAAGTATCCTATGTCACTCTCCAGTCCTCCAACTATCTCGACACAAAAAATCACGCCAATCCATCACACTGTTTCGACGTGAAAGAAGGACAAATAAACAAACTTTATGATATGTATATTGTATGTATTTAAAGTTATATATGTGTAGTGTATCAACTATCTGATATCTATAACACAAGCCTCGCAGCTTACCAATGGAACTAGATGGTGCTGTGTGTTAATGTTCTAACTAAATATATATATATATATATATATATATATATATATATATATATCTATATATATAAAAGAAAGTCGTGTTAGTTACTTCGCTTATAACTCAAGAACGGCTGAACCGATTTAGCTGAAAATTGGCAGGGAGGTAGTTTAGAGCCAGGAGAAGGACATAGGATACTTTTTATCCCGTTCGACCGCGTTCCAATTTTTATGATATTTTAATTTTTGGATTTCTCTTAGTCCGGAATAGGTAAGTATTAAAACATATAATTAAAATGTGAGAAAGAAAGATTTTTTCTTTTTATATCTATTTAAAACGTACCTAGCGACGAACCCGAGCGAAGCGAGGGTGAGCCGCTAGTATATATATATTATTGATATACATTTATAATTATTTGAAAATTAAGCTCGAGTCAATAAGTAGGTAAGCACACTCATAACATCGATGAAGTTTGGCAACGTTTTCGATGCAATGAAAGCGATGGTAACAAAACTTACATATAACATTAAAATTATCGGTAAAACAGGCATTAACGTTATTTATTTTTTAACGATATTTACCTCTAGCAACTTTAACGATACCATTTTTTTAACGGTATTTCAAGCCCTGATGTGAAGTCCGCCAACCCGCACTTGGTCAGCGTGGTGGACTTTGGTTTGATTCCTCTCACATTGAAGAGAGGCCCGTATCCGGTAGTGGGACGTTAAAAAGGGCTGAATACAATATAATATGTACATACCTTAATAAGCGTAGCATTGAGATGTACGAGGTAATTAAAGAGATGGTGGTGCGCATGCGGGTCGCGCAGCGCGTTGGGGTCGCCGAGCGCGGCCAGCATGCGGCGCCACAGCACGCACGCCACGTCCGGCAGCCAGCCGCGCGCCGCGCCGCCCAGCGCCACGCCCACGCCCGCGCCGCCGCCCGAGCCCACGCCCACTCCACCCGCACCGCCCACGGCGCCCGCGCCGTCAGTTTCCGACCATTCTATTAAATTAATAATTATTATGAGTTTATATTCATAATTACTTCATTATGAGTTCATATTAATGAGACATTTTCCAGCGGTAAAAAGTATCCTATATGTTGACCCGGATAACCAGCTATCACCCTACCAAATTTCATCAAAATACCTCCAGTGGTTTTTCTGTAATGCGGTAACGACAGACAGACAGACAGACCGACAGACAGACAGACAGACAGACAAAAATTCTAAAAACTATAGATTCGGCCTCTGTATCAATAATAATGTTTATTTCAATAAGATTTTCCAAAAAATATTTAATGTACAGATTCGGCTTGGTTACAATTTTATTATATGTATGGATATGGAATTCAATTATACACAACATTTGGTCAACAAAAACTAATACTTACCAACGTTTCCACCATCTGAAGCCAGATCAATTTGCAAAGGGGAGTCCTTGATGGAGCTACTTTCCACACCACTTGAAGGAGCTGGAGATGGAGACCGAGAACCTACAAAAAGAATATTCTTATATTAATTTATATCAATAATTTCAAATAATAAATTATAATTATTAATATTTTGTGAAAATTAATATTAGAAGTTTAAGTTTATTACCACTAGCAGAATCCCTCTCCTCCTGTTGTGATGATTGTCTTAGTGAATCCAGAGAATACCATCGTCTTGGTTTATTACTGGTTGTTTCTTTGGTTTCTTCTGTAAACAAAATATTTAATAAATCACTTGCCTTTCATATTTTTATTTTTCTATAATTTTTTTGCTATTATATAGTCGGGACGTTCATGAAATATGGTGTGCGTGGACCTTTATTATTTTACATATATCTCAGTTATTACCTAATTTTTTTTAATATATCTCAGTTTTTATTTTTTTATATACATAAAATTAGTTAAGATAACTTAAACCCTATTTATAAATTTTAATGTTTTTCAATTTTTTACCCTTATTTTGTAGTCATTTCTTTTTATTTTTTATATTAGCAGTGCATGTATGTAATTTGTTGGTCAGTGCTATGGACACCTGTAAGTGACTAACATACTAGAACTTGTGTATTAAGAATGAAATTTAAAATGTATTTGTGTGTTATGCTGTTGGTGTTCTTAATAAATAAAAAAAGAATAAGTATACCTGTGGGTTGGTGCGCGTGCGGCGCAGGCGCGCGCGCCAGGTGCGGGTCGCTGCGACAGCGCGCCAGCGGCCGCCGCGCGCCTGCCTCCTTGCGCGGGTGCGTCTCGTGGCTCGTGCGCGGCGACTTGCCTTTATTTATTAAATATGCCACTTTGTATTATATTTATATGAGTCTGGTAATACACATGCAAATCTTTGTATATGTATGCGTGTGTTTTTGTTACTCTTATACTTATACTAAGACGGCTGGGATTTGGATGAAAAGTATATATATAGATTATGACTTAATGGTACAAAGATTAATGTTAGTAGCAAATTTGGCCAAAAGTAGGCCTGTTTAATATCATACATTAAAAAGGCACCTAGAGATACACTAAAGTGTAGCGAGGGAAAGCCACTATAATAAGCCGCTTTATAATATTTATGTGACAGCTCAGTGTGTAACTAGAGACGAATTAAGAAAATCACTAAATAACAATTCACATTATAATTACATGACTGCTTCCATTTGTATAGTTTCCGCAATACCTTTTCCAATTATGAACTGATTGTAACGATCTTTTATTTTATATAAAAAAAGAACTATTACAATTAGTAAGAGTTCTATTTTTTTAAAATCGATTAAAAAATAAGTAAATTAAATATTATAATAACCAGGAGTCCTCGTATCGCTAGTGGCGAGCGTAGGGCGCCGCAGGGGCGCAGGGCGCGGCGCGGGCGCGGGCGCGGGGCGGCGGCCTCGCGCGCGGCCCTCCGCTGCCGTCGTCTCGGATAGTTCCAGCGAGTATACGTGCCGCGCTAGCACACGGGTTAAGGTTTCCATTGTTTTCTACAAAATAGATATAATATATGTATATGAAGTATGTACATTCTAATACCCTATCCTATAGATTACTGAGGTACGTAGGTAGGTACGTTTTGACAGTTAGTATGAAATACAAATCTTTGAATTTCTCGGCTTTTCTGTACTAAAAAAAACCGCATCAATATCCGTTGCGTAGTTTTAAAGATCTAAGCATACATAGGGACAGACAGACAGCGGGAAACGACTTTATTTTTATACTATGTAATGATTAGCACAGCCTACTAATCCATTCAGTCGTCTAACGGCCTCTAGATAGGTAACCGTGTGGAGCGTGTGAGGTGAGATGCGATGAGTCGGTATGACTGTATCCTGCTCTTTTATGTGACATTTAGAGAAAGGCTTGAGGGTTGATGAGTGGAATTTGCCACCAGATAGCACTACAACGTTTTAACCCGACACCCCTCGCATTTAACAGCATTCTCATTATAATTGCTTTTAATCAATGGACGATCACTTTTTTGAATGGATTTTTATACTGTGCTGTTAGTATTTAAATCATTATTACAGAAATTAGTACCTTACGGTAATTTCAGATAAAAAAAATTAATTTAAAATTATGATAACATACCGCCCATTCTTTTATCAGATCTTCCCAATGCGTAAGACGAGTCAATAGCTCCATAAAATTTTGCCACAATTCAGGTTTTACAGCAACATTCAAATTAGCTTTAATCCATGTCACTATTAAAGTTTGGAATAATGCTGGCGCCAGAAAACCACCTGAAACATCATATAAATATGTTAATAATATCAAATTTACCTAAATAACAAAAATATTAAAAAAAAAAAACAAAGTAAGTTAATTACCTAAAGTATCTTGTTTCCTTTTAGGTGGCACTTTTGTCAGTACTAATGATGTTATTTGTAATAACACCAGTAATAATTGTTCCCTAAAAAAAAGCAATTCAAAAATATATTGATTAATATAGTTTACTATATATATTTATATTTCGTTTTTTTTTTAGTTTTCCAGACAAAGTGGAAATTGATGACAAAATTGATGAAAAATATAAAAAAATATATATTTTAGTAAATTGTAATTTATCTAATCTCTGGAACAACAGAACCGATTCCTAATTCTTTTACTATTAGAAAGTACATCACCGCCGCGTGTTATAGGCTATTTCTTATGCCGATAACAATGTGTGAATTTGAATAAAACTGGCCTCCGTTTGGTTTATTGATATGTGCTGCCTAAACGGTTTGAAATAAAACAATCAAATATATGGCAAAAAGACATCTAGGAACACGCCCAAACGAACCGAACCGATGGTAAGATTAGTCAGTTCTAAAGTAGACACCAAGTTGACTCACCAAGAGCCGGCATCCATAGCAATGTGCATGACCATGTATCTGTATATATTGAGCACGCGCTTGCACGTGTCGGTCTGCTCGTCGAGCTGCGGGCCGAGCGCACCCGGCGGCGCCACGGGGCTCGCGCTCGCCACGAACACGTTCGCCGCTTGCGTCATGAACACTTGCAGCACGTTCTGGTATTACATACAAAATTTGTAAAGCGCATTTTTAAAATGCTTAAAAAAATATGTTTCCGTGGTGGAAAAAAATATCCTTTTATTAAAACTTCATTTATCAACACCAGTACAACCAATCTGTAGGTATAAATGAAATAAAAAATTTAAACATTTAGGTTTACAAAAGGCATTGACCGCTTAATTAATTGCACAGCATCGATTTTTTACCAATTTACAAAATATACAACATTTTCCATAAATCATTACTGTATAACAATTAAATGAAACCGATTTTATTCGATTGTTAGGTAGTGAATTACAGATAGAGTGTATGTAAAAAGTTATCGATTTAAGAGTACGACAACATATGTTAGAGTAGTGAAAGAATATATTTTTTTAACGAATATTAATTTTAAGATGCTTACTTGCATCCCCGCTCGCACCATTATATTGTCTCGGCCGATGGCCCCCAAGTACGAATCGTTACGGAGTCTCCGGGGCGGCGCCAGCGGCTCGCCGCCTTGATTTAATTGCTGCTCATAGATACTCTCCATCAAGAAAGGCGGAATTTCTGCCACCTACAGAATTAATCACATTTTATTTTATTTTTCAGCATTTAAAACAAAATATCAAAAACACATTTAAGAAAGGTATCTTAACTAGTGTGTTCGATTTAATAAAAGGTATAATCGGATATTTCATATTTTAATATGAAACTTATATTTCATTAAGTTAACCTTAGAGTTACTATTTTATTCTTAAAAGTGGATTTTTTAATATAAATAATGTGGTCCCAACCACGGTTGAGATATTAAGTATCCATTAAAACCCGCATAATATCTCTTAAAATACATAAAAAAAAATTAAATGTGGCACTCGGAGACTGCCGCGGTAAAGCTATTGCATAGCATTTTTTATCAACTTATGCAATTATAATTATTTATTTATTTTATTAATGCAGTATTTTTTTTCCTTGACTTTCTTCATTAATATTTTATTGCATTTGCACTTTGTTTATTCATATTTAAAACACTTTGTACACAAATTATACGAGTACAGATATTCACTGTTGTACATAGATGATAAATACCTATACACCTAAATACTTTCTCACAAACAGCTGATTACGGTAGTTTTCCAATACAACCAATGCCACCTAAAGGCGGGTTGCTGAACTAAAGAGACAAGCGCGATATTTCAAAAAGTCATTAAAAGTGCTGGTATTTATCGATAGATGGAAAAACTAAAAAGTATCACCGCTGTGCCTGTCGGAGTGGGGGGTGTCAGGTTTTTTTCGTTACGGAATTTCTGGATTCGGTCCCCACGCTCAAGGCCCGCGATAGAAGCTATGCAATAGCTTAATATACAATAACGTTTTATGTATGTATTATACGAAATTTTCAATATCGTCTCTTTTTTTTCTTTATTAGGTTCACCAGCAACTTTTCATTTTATACATACACAAGAAACCATATTACGGATATAAATCTAAAATGTAAGTCACATATAGGTAAACACAACATGCATCAATTAAATATAATAATTAGACGGTAAAGATACATATTAATTAGAATAAAATATTTTTTTTTCTCTAATGCCTAAGACAGAAAAAATAAACATTAAATTATATACCTTATATGCTACAATTACTACAGTTACTCTTTATCTCTTATTTGAAGAAGGTCAAAATATCTATTTTCATATAAAATATCTATCTTTTAAAATATCATATACTTTAAAACGTCGAAAAATTAAATAAACTGTATAAGTACTCCTTTAGTATTTGTAGAATTTTACATACGATAGACTACATAGATCGATATATTCCATGTGCATAATGCAACCTAATAAACTACTCTCGTGAGCAAAAAAATCTACTCAGGACGCACGCTTGCGGTTAAAAAGCTCTAGCAAAAAATCGGAAGCTTTTATTATATTTCTGATTTTAACATCTCAAAGTTCTGTTTTAGCTTTAAAATGAGTGGTCTATGTTGTTATTAAAAAATGTTTTCTGGTAAAGAAAAAATATTGAATGAGATGGAGTCTTAAGCAATAAAAAAAGCGATGGTTGACGGTAAAGAAAATACCACGTAAAATTCGTCAAAACAATAATTTAATTAAAATTATTTTTTTTATATTTAGTGTTGCCCCCCCTGGTCCTAATAACAGCTTCCAATCGCTTTTTCATGGATCGAATAAGTTTCCTTACTCGATCTTGTTCGATGCTATTCCATTCGTCGATTAGCGCTGCTTTGAGGTCCGCCATCGTGTCTGGTGCAGGATTTCTAGCCCGAACTTTTCTTTTAAGATCATCCCACAAATGCTCGATAGGATTTAAGTCCAGGCTACGCGCTGGCCAGTCCATAGCGGCAATTGCGACCTCCTGTAAATACTGCCGGACGGAACTTGCAGTATGTGGACGGGCATTGCCGTGCATTAGGACGAAGTTTTCGCCAATGAAACCGGCGTACTACTAGTAAAGACTTGAACGCCAGTGAGGGCACGATTTCTTAACGATGTGCTGACAATAAATCGGTCATCTCTCTCTGATGTGTACCTTTTTCTACCGGAACCGCGTCTTCGATTAAAGCCACCAGTCTCCTGGTAACGACGGTAAACTCTGGAAACAGCAGACTGGCTCATGTTCAGTGCACGTGCCACTTCACGCTGACTCTGGCCTTGTCGCAATAGGGTAATCGCTTGAGCTGCTAAATCGCTTGTTGTGTCTATTTTCAAGTAGAATTCTTGATTGTTGATAACGGAGATGTGTATCGGTTGACGTTTGACGGCTAACTGATAAGGGTGGTTCAGATAGATAACCTTTTATATGGGTCAGTAACCCTTAATTAGCACTATTGTAAACAAGCGTAAAAAGGGTGGTTACTGATCACAACATATTGTTGGGTTGTGTGAGCAATAAACCTTACAATATTTTATATCATTTTGAAGCTAATACTAGCAGCTTTAAGATTTTACTACGAAAAAAATATATTTGCTTTCAGTTTTTTTTCCAGTGACTTGCGACTACAGATGTGTCGTCTGAGTCGATTTTTTTGCTCACGAGTGTATTTTCCATATATAACCCAAACCGGATGAAATCATGGCTTAAAACTTAAATCCCAGGTTTTAATATAATGAATTTTAATTTTGTGGAATGGGAAATGAATAAACATATTCTATAAAATTAATAATGAAATTAAAACTAAA